AAATTGTCTTCTCGTGAATATTTCCAAAAATTGCTGTCAACATGCATGAGAGGAGACGAAAATGCAAAAATTTCCGAAAGACATTTTGAAAAAGTGTGCTTGATATAATCGGTGATATTTACTGTAGCTCTATTTCTTTCGATGCCCGCAGCAATCCCTACCTTACAAATACCCTGGTATTCAAAATATCCATAACATGTATCTATAAAGAGTATAAAACTATCAAACCACAGAATCGAAATCCCAGTCCACAGAATCGAAACTCGTGCATTCCAAGTAATTTTGCAAATTCTGTTTGTTTCTAGCCTGCGCGCAGACTATATAATGACATATATATATATATATATATATATATATATATATATATATATATATATATATATATGTTTGTAATTGTTTTGTTTTCATGTTAATTAAAGTCATTACAAATTCACATTTCTTTATTTAAAAGTCTTACGCACAGAACGTTCGAGTTTATAGACAACATGTAAACAAGTATTATATGTACGGACTTCACAAAAAATATAATACTTTCATATTAAATTACGGCCAAGAAGTATTACGCGCGGACCATATTTAGAAGTCTTACGGACCACATTTAAAAGTCTTACGGACCATATTAGAAGTCTTACGGACCACATTTAGAAGTCTTACGGACAACATTTAGAAGTCTTACGGATCGCATTTAAAAGTCTTACGGACCACATTTAGAAATCTTACGGACCACATTTAGAAGTCGTACGGGCAGGCAATATTTATATAAGTCTTACGGACCACATTTAGAAGTCTTACGGACAACATTTAGAAGTCTTACGGACCGCATTTAAAAGTCTTACGGACCACATTTTGAAATCTTACGGACCACATTTAGAAGTCGTACGGGCAGGCAATATTTATATAAGACTTACGGACCACATTTAGAAGTCTTACGGACCACATTTAGAAGTCTTACGGGCGAGGTTTAACGTTTCCGGGCGATGTTTTCAGGTATTACGGGGATATTACTAATTATTGCGCACAGTTAGTACAGTAGCCAGTTTACACGCGAAGCATGATGTTTTATACGCGTGTATTTAAGCCTTGCAAGAATGCAGATAAGATGTACGCGCGAGAGAAGTTTTACGTATATAATCCTAAAGTAATTTTGTCCAGTATGCCGTTCCATATCTCTTCAATAACTTCAAATATCTTAATACATTTTGTCGTATATCCATATCGATAAGCGGCGAAGGAACTTGTCTATACGATCTAGATATTTATTTTACCATAATGTAAAATAATGTCATAATTAATAGTGAATCAAATAATTTGCTAATGGTAAGCTCTGGAGTATCCATAACACCTACAATCAGGAGCAAAAATAATGAGACTTTTCACGTTTTTGGCCAGTTTCAAGTACGTCGGCCTCCCCCCTCCCCCCATGATCAATGTTGGAAAAAGCGGATTGAATTTTCTCTTTTCAGTCATCCACACAACATTAGGGAGCTTTAGATTTGACTACGAGTACGACTACGAGTACGAGATTCGCCAAGCTAAACGCATGCTGTATGCTTACGCCATTCCGTGCTGACGCTAAAAAGTCGTAGCCGTCGCCCATCTGAGTACGAATTTGTGGAGAAACCTCGTAGTCCTTACGACGACTTTTCAAAAAAAAACAAAGAAAGTTGGCTTTTTTTGTTTTCCAAAAATAATTTGTAGCATTTATATAGCGTTTATCCGGCGCAAATAACATATTAGTACTAAATATCTGGCCTGTTTTTAATGTTATGACTTATTTACACGTTTTGTAGGGGATTTTAGTCAGCAGGAGATTTAGTTTATGAACTTTTTCTCTCGTTGTTGATTTACTGTTATAAAAGCAACATTTGAATGGAAACGAGAACGACTACGGTAACTTCCTCGCACGCGATCAAATCTCGTACTCGTACTCGTAGTCGAATCTAAAGCTCGATCCCTATTGAATTGGGGGTGCGGGGAGCATTTATGCGTTTTGTCTCAATAATTTTTGCTCCTGATTGTCTCTATATGTACTTTTGAATGAAACGTAATTCGTTCATGTTCATTCAACTTATTGCTCCAGGAAAGACGCTGACTTGGATTTCTTGCTTAATGAACCTTTTGCTATATCATATTTTTTTCTCAGCGGTTTTCTATAATTGAGTACTTCATGTAAAAAAAATATAGGTGATCTTCAGAACTATAGCTATTTTTTGTTTCGAAAGGACGATTAATTGACGAATATATACATGGGAAGAAGATTATAAAATAATAGATAAATTTCAGACAATTTTTCCCCATGGCTGACAATCATGAGTATATTTTTTCTCTCAAACAGAACATTTCCTTTAAGTTCAAGAATTTTATAACAGACAACGCCTCGTTCAGACCTATTTTGGAAAAATTTCAATAATTTTCCTACTTTTAACAGAATTGTTGCGTGAGATTGACATACTCACTAAATTTTAAACCCAATTCAAGCTTTTTATTTATCTTGATAAACGGACTTACCAATCATAAACTTGCAATAGAATTTATTGCAAACTTCCATCTCCCATGATTTTGGGATTATGTGAGATGAGTTCAAGCAAATCTGGTCGCACATGCGCAAAATCTCAATCTATTTTTACGTACTGAATATAGACACGTTACACACACGTTACACCACACGTTACACCACACGTTACATAATAATTTGTAGTAAAACATATAGAGATATGACACGTTACACACGTTACACCCATTGTTTTTAAAAATAAATATATATATTTATTTTTAATAAAAATGGGTGTAACGTGTGTAACGTGTCATATTTCTATATATTTACTATAGATTATTATGTAAAGTAGGTGTAACGTGTAGTGTAACGTGTGTGTAACGTGTGTGTAACGTGTCAGCGTTTGCTTAATGAACACAAGTGTATAAAATTTACATAAACTAATCACTTTAGATTAGCTGGTGAACATCCCACAAGCACAGCAGCACATACTGCAGTATAAATGACAAAGTTTTTTTTATTTTTCGTCATGTGGCTAAGCTGAGAAAATGTAATACAATGACTCCCTGCTCAGGAAATGATGGCTAATTAAGCATGAAAGGACGAAAAAAAGAAGTTAAAAACACTACATTAGATTTTTGTGGCTTATTGGATATGTCTTACTATATCGCAAAGTACTTTAATAGATCGTACTTAGCCTGCAGCTTGTCTATTTTCCCAAAAACTTTTCTCTAGTAAGTAATGACAGTACAAAAATTTAACTTGTCAGAAAAGCTTCTTTATTCTTGCCCAGTCCCCCGCGCAGCCTCCTTGCAGAATTTCTACATTTTGGGGGACAAAAAACTTTCGGTTAATTGATTGAAATATGTCAATTTCATGTCAACATGATCGCTAGAGTTTGGCAAAATTTCATATTTTCGACAGCAAACCCCCAAACGCCTCCACTCAGACAATCAGGAGCAAAAATAATGAGACTTTTCACGTTTTTGGCCAGTTTCAAGTATGTCGGCCTCCCCCCTCCCCCCATGATCAATGTTGGAAAAAGCAGGTTGAATTTTCTCTTTTCAGTCATCCACACAACATTGAATTGGGGGTGCGGGGGCATTTATGCGTTTGTCTCAATAATTTTTGCTCCTGATTGTAGTCTATATGTACTTTTGAATGAAACGTAATTCGTCCATGTTCATTCAACTTATTGCTCCAGGAAAGACGCTGACTTGGATTTCTTGCTTAATGAACCTTTTGCTATATGATATTTTTTCTCAGCGGTTTTCTATAATTGAGTACTTCATGTAAAAAAAATATAGGTGATCTTCAGAACTATAGCTATTTTTTCTTTCGAAAGGACGATTAATTGACGAATATATACATGGGAAGAAGATTATAAAATAATAAATAAATTTCAGACAATTTTTCCCCATGGCTGACAATCATGAGTATATTTTTTCTCTCAAACAGAACATTTCCTTTAAGTTCAAGAATTTTATAACAGACAACGCCTCGTTCAGACCTATTTTGGAAAAACTTCAATGATTTTTTTACTTTTAGCTGAATTGTTGCGTGAGATTGACATACTCACTAAATTTTAAACCCAATTCAAGCTTTTTATTTATCTTGATAAACGGACTTACCGATCGTAAACTTGCACTAGAATTTATTGCAAACTTCCATCTCCCATGATTTTGGGATTATGTGTGATGAGTTCAAGCAAATCTGGTCGCACATGCGCAAAATCTTAATCTATTTTTACGTACTGAATATAGACACGTTACACACACGTTACACCACACGTTACACCACACGTTACATAATAATTTGTAGCAAAACATATAGAGATATGACACGTTACACACGTTACACCCATTGTTTTTAAAAAAATATATATATATTTATTTTTTGAAAAAATGGGTGTAACGTGTGTAACGTGTCATATTTCTATATATTTACTATAGATTATTATGTAAAGTAGGTGTAACGTGTAGTGTAACGTGTAGTGTAACGTGTAGTGTAACGTGTAGTGTAACGTGTAGTGTAACGTGTGTGTAACGTGTCAGCGTTTGCTTAATGAACACACGTGCATACAATTTACATAAACTAATCACTTTAGATTAGCTGGTGAACATCCCACAAGCACAACAGCACATACTGCAGTATAAATGACAAAGTTTTCTTATTTTTCGTCATATGGCTAAGCTGAGAAACTGTAATACAATGACTCCCTCCTCAGGAAATGATGGCTAATTGAGCTTGAAAGGACGTAAAAGAAGTTAAAATCACTACATTAGATTTTTGTGGCTTATTGTATATGTCTTACTATATCGCCAAGTACTTTAATAGATCGTACTTAGCCTACAGCTTGTCTATTTTCCCAAAGAATTTTCGGCTCTAGTAAGTAATGACAGTACAAAAATTAAACTTTTCAGAAACGCTTCTTTATTCTTGCGCAGTCCCCCGCGCAGCCTCCTTGCAGAATTTCTACATTTTTGGGGGAAAAAAACTTTCGGTTAATTGATTGAAATATGTCAATTTCATGTCAACATGATCGTTAGAGTTTGGCAAAATTTCACATGTTCGACAGCAAACCCCCAAACAGCTTCATCTCAGACAATCAGGAGCAAAAATAATGAGACTTTTCATGTTTTTGGCCAGTTTCAAGTACGTCGGCCTCCCCCCTCCCCCCATGATCAATGTTGGAAAAAGCGGATTGAATTTTCTCTTTTCAGTCATCCACACAGCATTGAATTGGGGGTGCGGGGGGCATTTATGCGTTTGTTTAAATAATTTTTGCTCCTGATTCAATCAGGAGCAAAAATAATGAGACTTTTCACGTTTTTGGCCAGTTTCAAGTACGTCGGCCTCCCCCCTCCCCCCATGATCAATGTTGGAAAAAGCGGATTGAATTTTCTCTTTTCAGTCATCCACACAACATTGAATTGGGGGTGCGGGGGGCATTTATGCGTTTGTCTCAATAATTTTTGCTCCTGATTGTAGGTAACGTTTTGAACAAATAATCTTAAGTTGTACGACGTCTCAACGTCAATGTTATGCCAGGACGTCAGGGTCGAGCGGAGGACTGGGCCTTCAGAAACTAACGAAGGCTGGGCATGCAGTCATTTTGTTTAAAATTCAAACAAGTTCATTATTCTTTCAAAAACAGTAAAAGACAATCATGAATATAAACTTTTTATATAGACAATGGTTTTGTAATTATATTTTACAACATAACGTCATTGTAACAAGAACACATATTTAGTAGTAATAGGCTAAAAAAACTTAGCGTATACTCGAGCGTATAAATGGAAATGTAGAGTGGTCCAATAATTACGAAATATAATGACAGCGATCACGGTAAGCGTTTAACTTTCGCTCAGGTCCACCATTTTGAACGTGGAAAAGAACCTTTACGAGTAAATTACACCAAGTACTTCATATATTTTTTGTGGATTTGTGGATTTTTTTAAGGATTTTTATGGATTTCTGTGGATTTTTGAAGGATTTCTGTGGTTTTTAAAGGATTTTTTTTATTTTGATGGATTCAACGGATTTTGAGGATTTCATGGATTTTTTCTGGATTTTTTCCGGATTTTTTGACGAAGTGTACGGGATTTTTGGAGTGAAATGCCCCTCGAAATTCAATGTGTGAAGCCTGGTTTTTACTGGCGACATAATAATATTATAAGCAAGACAAAAAAAAATTCCTTACAATTTGCTTTTTTCTACCATATAGGTAGCTTATAATACACTTGGAGTTGTGGTCAAGTGTCGATGCTTATTCAGCACTTCACTGCATTTATTCGTTGTGCATTTGCAACGTCAAATATACGCTTGCATGCATTGTTATTGAACCCTTATATAGGGTTGATAACACAATTAAACTTTATATATATGGAATATAAGCCATAAGGTAATATGTCCAGTTGGTATATACACCTAAAAATATGCGATAGGCTACGTTGAAATTGTTGTGGGGGAAATATATTAATTCTTCAACAAACCCTAGAATATATTTATATATGTCCATCCTCATATCTAAACCATGCATTGAGATTTGATAAAACAACTAATAGAACTTAAATTTGCGTTCGAAATGAAGTGAACTACATATAGGCAGTGCGCAACAAGATGTAAAGCGTATGCCGGAGGCAATTAATTAAAGGAAACGTTATAATTAAATGCATGATAACCTATGCGTATTATACGACGTGTTATCATGCATTTAATTATAACGTACTGTAAGTAGTAGTATCATGCGCTTAATACACCTATAATATGCGCATAATAATGAGAGTTATCATTTTTTAATGAGGGTAATTATGCATGGGTTATAATTTTAATTATATTCATAGTGATCATCTTAATTAATTCATTTTCCGAATGATCATCTTAATTAATTCATAAGTGATGTTCCGAAGTTACACCGAGGATGGTAAAACAACGAGAGGTTTCCGACCTAGCGCCATTTTGTTTCGTGATGAAAATTTATTCCTGTCACGAAACAAGGCGAGCTATTTTCAGAGTTAATTTATTCCTGTCGCAAAACAAGGCGAGCTAGTTTCGGAGTGTCATTCTGGTTCGAGATGCCAGAGCAAGGAGAGCAGATATAAATGTTAGAAGTTTTTTAAGTGAAAATATGGCTGAAGGGTTAATAATGGCGGTTTTGAAGGAAAATAACATTGAATTGAGTGAGAATACTTTTCGTTTTCGTTTAAAAGTGCTTTTGGAAGAGCATGAGGGTTTATTTGAAAGCATGATAGCTCGTATTGAGAGAGAACATACTTGAAAATTTGTGTGTGATCTATCAGGAGTTAGAACCTTCAAATTTTGGTAGAATTATGGCTTACTTGACTTTAGTTTTTAAAGTGAGTGATTTTTGTGACGCTGAAATTGTGCAAGAAGCCGTAAGAATCTGTCTATGGGAATTAAAACAAGTCGATATAGCCAGCTTTGAAATAAAACAATCTTGGATACAACGCTTAATTGCATGGTTACACAACTAATAACCTGGCGAAATTTGAATATCACTAATCCGGGTTGAATGGCAAAAGTCATTAACTGTCCTACATGGCTGAACACGTCGTATTTTTTACGACATTGCCCGTTTATGCTGACCTGAACAAGATCGTAGTCTTTACACAGCTTTCACAGAGAGAACTAAGTAATTAGATTGATTATGGCTATGGATCTTTTTGAAGTAACGTTTTATACTCCTTTATACTGTGCAGCAAGTTTTACATTACACGGATGTCAGATTTACAGATTGTTTAATGGAATGGATGCAGTGGATTTAGAAGTTTATGAATCGGGAAAGGATTGGTTTACATGTCACTTTAAATCGATTAGAATGATTTGTGAGAACGCTAAAACGAACTGTTTGATAAATAACGAACAATATGGTAGAATCAATGTTTTAAATACCGTAACAATTAAGAAACAGAAAGAACCGAGATGTACCGGTGACGCAGGTTTTTGTGGATGTCCGAGTTGCAGAGAGATTATGTCTGTTACTTTCATAGGGGGAAGGGGAAAGAACACGGATATTTTAGGTATAGCGCAAAGTAAAATATAATTGTCTATAAAAAGTTTGTAAAAGTTTGATAGATTTTGAGGATTGTTGGCTAATGTTGTATTCGTTTTTCTTTCAGTTGAAATAAAATTACTTCGTCTTCTTCTTCATGCCTAAGAGGGTAAAGTTCTATAGGATTGGAACGAATGACGCGTTGCCTTTGTAGTAGAAACCTGCGCCGTATCAGGAACACGCACACTGCTAGGACAATCACCAGCGGTAAAATCGCGATCAGCCATAGCATTTTTCCCCCTTCCTTTTTCCATGTTTTGTTCGTGGAGGGTTCAGTTCGGCTCAAGCGATCCGAATCGTGTTTTGCGGTACTGTGGTTAAACTTTGTAACCGTAGGTTTCGTACTAAGAAACTTGGAAATACAGTCACTCAATATAATCATTTTATAATCTAAAGCATGTAGTAATGTACAGTTTAAGGGATTGTCCCTCATATCCACTTCTTTAAACCCGTGTAAGTCGTCCATGTCCTTCTCCGTTAGTGTATTAATTTGGTTGTGTATCATTATCAAAGTCGGATACCGTCCATCACCTTTTAGTCCACGCGGAAGGTGCGTGAAACCACCGTTCGCACAATTAATCATTTTTATACTCGTCGAGCACGTGCAAGACCTTGGGCACGTCAAAACGGCCGATAAATTCAATAAAACAACGAGTACCACAAAGCACAACATTTCGACCAGTGACTGAATGTCTTAAAAACGCGTTGCAATACGACACAGTGTTCATTTCTCCTGTCAAGCTTGTCATGTCAACATGGGAAATTGTTTTGGACAGCCGCAAACACCTAGTATAGAACTGCGTGAGTTTCTCAAACGCATTCGCTGTCTTTGTACTTGCTGTAGTGGACGTGTTTTGATATACAAATCAGAGCTCGATGGAAAAGAGGAGGGAAACGCTTCTCAGCAAAATTTACTACAACCCCAAACACGAAGCTAGTTTTGGTGGTTTAGAGAAACTTTACCGCGCAGCAAGTGCGACAAAGAACATTGAATATAAGTCGAAATGACGTGCGTGAATGGTTGCGCTCGCAAGAAACGTACAGTTTACACAAACCTGTTCGTAAAAATTACCCTCGCACTAGAGTTTTTGTTGCCGGCATCGATGACCAATTTGAAGCGGATTTAGCAGACTTTCAATCTTTAAGCACACAAAACGACAACTATAGATTCCTACTTGTTTGTATCGACTGTTTTAGTAAATATGCTTGGGTCAGACCCCAAAAAAATAAAACTGTTCCAGTTGTTACTCGAGCTTTTCGTGAAGTTTTGAAAGAAGGGCGCGTGCCTAACTATCTTCACACAGATCAAGGCACAGAGTTTTTGAATTCGCAATTTCGAAATCTCATGCGGCAATATGGCATTCACTTTTTCACCACGAACAGTGAAACCAAAGCCAGCATAGCCGAAAGGTTTATACGAACATTGAAGCAGAAAATATATCGTTATTTCACGGCGAATAATACTGTCCGTTATATCGATACGCTACAACAGTTAGTACACGCGTACAACCATACTGTTCATCGCTCGATCAAGGAAATGCCAGCTAATGTTACAAGGGAAAATGAATTCAAAGTCAGACAAACGCTCTATGGAAAGAAACAACCTAAAGTCAAGTTCAAATTTAACATAGGTGATTTAGTCAAAATTAGTAAGACAAGAAGGCAATTTGAGAAGGCTTACAATCAGGGATGGACAGGGGAAAACTTCACCATAGCTGAACAGATTGCGCGAGATCCCCCAGTGTACAAAATCAAGGATTATGAAAACGAAATACTTGATGGTATATTTTACGAGCATGAACTCCAGAAAGTGATTAAAAAAGACGACCTGTACACAGTGAACAGCATTCTTCGCTCCCGAACAAGAAACGGACACAAACAATATCTCGTAAGCTGGAAAAATTACCCAGCAAAATTCAATAGTTGGGTAGATGAAAAAGACATTACACTGATAAAATAAGTTTAGTGACACGTCAACAGCCGTGATGGAAAGGTTGAAACCCTTTTTCTTAACTTTACCTAACAATAGCTGTATGGACATTTTCCCTTCAAACACAGTGGCGAATTTCAATGTGAAACTTCCAGAAACGATTTCCCTCACAGGCGATTGGGAGGTAGCTCTTGTTGAAATTCAATACTCGAATACATGGAGTACAATACGACATGGTACACAACAAACATTTATCTATATGGTGGGGAGTGAACGACATACACCGATAATCGACAGCGGGCATTACGAGAGCATACTTGATTTTGTCAAAATTTAAACGGAAGCCTGTCGAAAGATGTTCAAGACAAAATTAAGTTTACCTATAATCGGCGCACACGTAAAGTAACGATAGATGTGAAAAAGCAAGCGAGCGTCTGGTTCACAGGTGATATTGCTGCAGTGTTAGGTTTTGATCAAGACTGTTATGTCACAAAGAAAACAACATCCCTCTATGCAGCAGATATTAATGCAGGATTCTCATCCATGTTTGTGTATTGTAACATTGTGAGCGATCAAATTGTTGGTGACAAAAAAGTGCCGTTGCTGCGTGCAGTTCAAATTAAGGGAAACTACGGTGATACAATTACAAAAACGTACCAGAATCCGTTATATATTCCAATCGGTACGAAACGATTTGAAACATTGGAAGTACATATAACGGACGAGTCAGGGAGACGAGTGCCATTTGAGTACGGTCGGTCAATCTGTACACTTCACCTTCGACCAAACCATTCAATATACTTTTAATATGCAACAGTGGCAAACCGGTGGCGCTCTGCCAGTCTTTTCAGGAGCAAGAAGACAAAGAGGATTTGGTAGATTTCGAACACAAACAGGGAATGGTTTAGGAGAAATTTTTAGAAGATTATTTCGCAGCGCAGTTCCGTATTTAATTCGGGGAGGTAAAGAAGTAGGTCGAGAGGCCCTAAAGACAGGTGTCGCCATTGGGGAAGATTTACTTAGTGGGAAAAATATAAAAACGGCAACCGCGAGTCGTTTACGCGAGGCAGCTGGAAATATGAAACAAAAAGCAATTAGTCACACTCAATCAAACATGCAAAGTGGTAATGGCAGGGGGATTAAAAGGAAAGGCAAAGTTAGAACTGTCAGTCAGTCGAAAAAACCTCGCAAGGCGAACATACCTAAGTCAAAGACCAAAAAAAAGTTGGCGTACAGCGATATATTTGGTAACTAAACGATGCTGAAGCCTATCCATTACGATTCCGAAGCCTGTAGTAAAGATGAATTAAGTCTATTTAGCGTTCCACCCACGCAAGTGGCGGTCGAGAAAAGTAAATTTGTGGATTATTATCCGGTGTCAACACTTGGTGAAGATTCAGCACCTATCGAATTTTTTGTTCCGGGCAATGGAGAAGATTATGTAGACCCTAGTCGCATGCAACTGTACGTAAAAGTTAAAGTAAAAGCCGCTGATGGAGAGAACATCGGAGGTGATGATCAAGTCGGTCCGCAGAATCTATTCTTGCAATCGCTGTTTAGTCAAGTGAACTTTTCACTCAACGATAAATTGATTACGGCAAGCGCAACAACTTATTCTTACCGCGCCATGATCGAGACATTACTTAACTTCGGTCCGGCAGCCATGAGATCGCGTATGCAAACTAGTTTATTCTATATGGATACTGCTGGTAAAATGGATGTCCATAACCCAGGAGCGCTCGATGCTAATGCAAACATGGGTTTAAAAAAGCGACACGGTTTTGTAGCGACAAGCAGAAGTTGTGATATGTCTGGGCCTTTACATGCGGACATATGCTTTCAAGAACGCCTGATTATTCCAGGAGTCGACATTAAAGTTAAATTGGTCAGATCTGCGAACAGTTTTTGCTTAATGGCAGGTGGTGAAGATCCGGCATATAAAGTTCTGATTGAAGAAGCCGTGCTGCGCGTGCGTCGCGTGAGTGTAAGTCCAACCCTTCGCTTAGATCACGAAAAGTTTTTGGACAAAACAACGGCAAAATATCCCATTTCAAGAGTGGAGGTGAAATCTATAGCAATTCCGCAAGGTCTGCTGTCTTTAGATCGGGAAAATGTATTCCTAGGTGTGTTACCGAAACGTGTTGTAATAGCTTTAGTTCATAGCGAGGCTTTTCACGGTAGTTATGTCAAAAACGCCTTCAACTTTCATCACTACAACGTCACGCAAGTTGGGTTGTCTGTCAACGGGGATTTGCGCAAACCTATTAATCAAACCCAAGATATTCCTCCCTTGAATAAGTCTCCAGTTGATGACCTAATTGAAAATGGCAGTACAAGTATCCTTCCACAGTTTATTATCGAAGAAAAAGATGTATACTGTAAATTGTCCGCCATCCCCGTTTCCAAATCACCTGGTCCTGACGGAATACCTAATTGGGTGCTTAAATCTTATGCATACGTTCTTTCTTCCCCTGTGGCATCGATTTTCAACGCTTCGATTCAAAATGCAGTTGTACCCTCAATGTGGAAAAAAGCGAACGTTATCCCTGTTCCAAAAAAATCAGTCCCTAAAGACATTTCTAAAGATTTGCGCCCTATCTCACTTACCCGCACTTTATCCAAAATTTGCGAACGGTTTGTTACAGACTGGTTACTCAAGTCAATTGGTGCAAAGATTGATACGCGGCAGTTTGGCTCCGTCAAAAATTTCTCGGCCACCCATGCCCTACTGAGCCTGATCCATCACCTCCTGAGTGCTACAGATGCTTCAAGCAATGCGGTGAGAGTATTCTTGCTTGATTTTGAAAAAGCTTTTGATCGAATAGATCACAACATACTGGTGAATAAGCTACAACAAATGAGTGTTTCCCAAACCATTATAAATTGGATTAGAAGTTTTCTCTCTGATCGTAAACAACGAGTCAAGTTGGCTAACTGTCATTCGGACTGGCAAACGTTAAACGGTGGAGTGCCGCAAGGGTCGGTGTTAGGGCCGGCTTTGTTCCTTGTTATGATAAATGATCTTCTTATTGATTGGAGCGATAGATGGAAGTATGTTGATGACAGTACGTTTGCTGAACGAGTTACATCAACTGAGAGTAGTGAACTACAAGATCTAGTGAATGTTATCTATAATTGGTGTGAAGTTAATAATATGAAGCTCAACATCGGCAAATGTAAGGAAATGGTAATTGACTTTGCAAGAGAAAAACATGAGTTTGTACCGTTAACTATAAATAACGTTGGTATTGAGCGGGTAAAATCTGCCCGAATTCTTGGTCTCTCAATCCAAGATGATTTGAAATGGAACGAGCATGTGAACCATATTGTTAAAAAAGCGGGAAAACGCCTTTATATGCTAAGGTTGTTAAAACGATCAAATGCCGACAATAGCATTCTAATTTTGGTATACTGCACCATTATCAGACCAGTACTCGAATATGCCTGCCAAGTTTGGCACTTCAATATTACAGAATACCTAAGTGAAGATATCGAAAAACTCCAGAAGCGGGCTCTGCGTATTGTCTTGCCATTCGCTACTTATAGAGAAGCTTGCAGTATTACTGGTATACCCTTACTGAAAGATCGGCGGCGATTATTATGCGAACGTTTTTTTGTTAAAAATGCACATGGAGACAAATTGGGTGACCTCTTACCGCCTAAACTTGAACATAACTATAATACACGTTATGGAAGCGATTATAATAACTATAGTTGTAAAACGGACAGATTTATGAAATCGTTTTTTCCACAGATGGTTTCACATATGAATAGACCATAATTTTAATATTTTTAATATTTTTAAATTTGAACTCTATAACTTTTTCAACTGAAGTTATGAATAATTTTATGCATCTAGATATTCTATTGTAGTATAATGAGACTTTTTACTGATGTAATTTAAGTTACAAATCGGTATTTTATTAAATTATCAATTATCAATTAAAAAAAAACAAAACAAAAAACCCTGGAATGCAGGGTAAAAAGAAGCCAAGGAGTGACAATGACCGGCATAAACTCCGCTGTGACCGGTAAATTTAGTGATCCACCGGTCATAATGACCGGTATAACGTCCAGATCTATTTCGAGGCCTGCATGCCACAATCTAGCTGCCAGACACCGATTTTATAATGACATCATAATATCAGACGACCGAGTGAAGGTGACATCATTCAACATGTTACCGCAACCAAAGATCGTTAAAAGTGAAACTGTTAGTAAATGGCACGCTTCACGCATTTTCTTTAACATATTGGGTAAAGACCTACCTAAAATGATCATGTTTTGGGATTGGCTTTCAGAAACAAAAATGATCATTGTTCGTGACTCGTTCTTTAGAAAGACGATTTCTATAGTTTTATAGCCTTTCACTGTTATAATCAACTAACCAGCAGGTGTAGATGATGACCAAACATATTGCGTTAAAACGCGACGTGTATCAACGTGCAGTACATATAATTTTTAAAGTGTGCATTTTCTCAGCAATCGGTTTTAGACAATCGGAAATATAGATAATTCTATACTGATTCCGATTGTCTACCGATAAGGCAAAAATCGGCCTGATACCGATACCGATTATCGGTCAATCACTAGCTAGATTCTTACCTTGGCATTTCATAGCAATTGTAAGGTCAACATTGATCTGTAGTTTACTGTCAAAGGAAAATAATTAGTTCTTTATTAAACTATTCATCACAATTTTTCTGTGTTGGTGTTGTGTACTCAGGTGAATAATATGTTTGCGATGTTACTCTGAGTGCATATCCACACCGGGCGAGCTTGAAAAATATGCCCGGCCACGGTGGGATTCGAACCTACGACCTGGTATTCCAAAGGTCGTAGGTTCGAATCCCACCGTGGCCGGGCATATTTTTCAAGCTCGCCCGGTGTGGATATGCACTCAGAGTAACATCGCAAACATATTCATCACAAGTTTTTGTCGCCATGCAATCATACACATGCGTGTTCATCCTATATCGTGTTCATCGCAAACTGCATAAAGGAAATTGTTATTTATAATAAGCTCTTTCATTGTAAGACACTGTAACTATTTCACGCTTTAGAAGTTCTATTTGTTTTATTTAGGGCTTAATAATAACTTTCTTTGACAACCATGGCCATAGCCTTGATCCGGTACTCCGGTTTCCTCCCATCAGCTGGAGGAAATTACGACATGTCAGTGCATGGCAAACATTGGAAAGAGTGGCAACCATATATGCCCACCAATAACTCTGAAAGCCTGTTAATAGTAAATCTGACTACAGGATGTTACAAAACTCTAACAATGAACTTACAGAAATAAGAAAGTCTTGGCACTGCAGGCAGGGTATTATTAATAAGCATATTTGGGCAGAATCTAGGCTTCAAAGTTTTAAAAACTGAGATTTACCACAAATCAAGTTGGTAACCTATATTTGTAGCAAATGTAATTTTCTATAGATTGCAAATATAGGTAGTAGGGAACGGGAAGTGATGAAATATAATACATTGTTCAGGAATAGACCTTTTTAAAAAGTCTGCCTTGAGACATAGTTTATGGATAAATATGATCGTTTGGCCAATCAGGCAAGCCAAATGGCTGTGCGGGGTTTTCCTTTATCCGCAAACCAATCACAAGGCAGGCTTTTTAAAAAGGTCTATTGCAACCTTTATACTTTTGCACACATACGTGTTAACTTGTACATACATGTAGGTTTGTCATTTCAATAAGACTGCACAGTATATTATACCTGTCCGAATCAGTATCCACTTCATAGTTGTATTGAATGTCTGTTGCTCGGTAATATTGAAATTCTGAGATGATCAATATGCCAATGAAAAGGAAGGTGAGAATTGAAACTGAAAAAGAACAGAACATTTTACGATAATTATGCTTAAACATGTTTATTACCGTAAGTACTGTACATGATTGTATATTTTAAGTATAACTTACAATAAAAATAAATAATTAAACAATTACAATAATTATTGTTTATGACAGAAATGAGAACGGTACATACAGTAAGGAATCACTATGTTTGACCTTTGTTTACACGTCGCCTTGTTGTGGTGGAAAGCAGGTCTTATTTTACCAGGGGTCGAAATTCCCGCTATTCCGAATATACTGAAATGCATGCCGGAATAGTAAACTTCATGATCACAGTATTCCGTTTGACTTAATGTATAGTAAGAAAAAATTGTGGTACCAAATATCGACAAGCAAGGGTTTTCCTGATCTTATAATATATCACTTTATACCAGACTTTGAGCCAAGTACTGTTCCATTTCGTAGCTAAGTTCTTGTTCGCTTGCAGTACTTGCGTATTCTAATTTATTTGCAGCAATATTATTCCCAAGTTTGTTGCGAACTTGCCGATTACGTTTCCAAGTTCGGAAATTGGCCGTGAACTTCGCAACAAAGTTCGCAAGTTCATTTCAGTGTTTGAACTTTGTTTTTTATTAATAACTTGTTCATCACTGTACAGCGCAATGCCATGATTTCATGAAAATCAGAAACAGTACATTAAGGAATAGTGGATCTTCAGACGGAATAGTAAATACAAAAATCTACTATTGCGGCTGTATAGTACAAAAAATTTAAATTTCGACCCCTGTTTACACTTCATCTATGTCGAATTTATACCATTTAAAGTAAAGAGCTTAAGCAAGCGATATTTTTGACAACAAGTACACCAACCACAAGTCAATCGAGTTATTATGCTGTAGATGGCAAGAACCGTAAATGGTTCCACTTTGAAATCACACTGAACGTGAAACTGCACAATGACTGTTGTTCATGATTTGAAGCAAGAACTGGTGAATCTATAAAGTAGTAATAGATTGATTGACTTCTGGAATGCCATACTTGCTGTCAAAAATGTTGCTGAGACTAGACATATATTTTTCATTGAATTATCGCAAAAGTAGCGTCGGCCGCAAACAAAAGTCAAAACGCTCAGAGCTGTTTGATTTATCGAGATTTGATTGGAATCCAACTCAAAGTACAGTACAAACTTGGGATACTAGGCCAAATAAAAAAATATGTGGGTTTCCGGTTTCCCGACCCTACCTAGCTTTTGGACGTTGAAATCCCGACCCTAAACTTTTTTATTGGATCACGCTTGTAAGTGTTTCCACTTAGAGCAAAATGTTTGTGGAAAATGAAAATTTGAGGCAATATTAGGGAAATTTATGTTTGGACGTGGAAGCACTGACTAAACAAAATGGCATCTGGTTGTTAGGAAAATTAAAAAAAAAGTTTAAGAAAAAAACTTAAAACTGACCTACCCTACCTAAGTTTTTACAAGAGGAAACCAGAAACCCACATATTTTTTTTTTGGCCCTAGGTTTTCTGGGTGAATGCCAGATTTTAATTTGGAGGGCGCTAGGTGGTCATTCCAAACCAGGGTTAGGGTTAGCTGCAGTGACAGCACCATGGGAGGTTGGAAAGGACACATCCCCCCACACCCCAGTTCTCTTCAAGATGGAACGATTTTCTAATTCATGCAAATATTATGACAACAATGTGTGTGCGGGAGGGGGCAGCGAACAAGATCTAGCAAGCAATACACATGCAGTGGAACTTGGAAATATTAAAGCTTGTAAAAACAAGCTTCACTTGTCGCTTCAAATCGTAACTTTTAACCCTATAAGTGGCAATGCGCCCCATTTTATTATTTTACTCTGTCTAATGCCAGACGATTTTACTCGTCAGCGGGCGAGTGCAAATGGATTGGTTCTTCTTGGCTACTAGTAGCAAATCAGAGACTTTCTTCACAAATCTGGTTGTGAATTTCAGCTTGCAATTTGATCACGTCGAACTTGCTCAGAGCAATCTTGCAAATCAAAATTGCAATATTCCCAACAATATTGCAATATTCAGGGGACCAGAACATCTGGTTTGACTGTAATATCATACCTAGCGTAGGTTTTCAAGAGAAAATAATGCATGAGTCAATTCCTGGAGTAACCATCCCCCCCCCCCCCGGGACACCCCCGGGAATTTGCCCAATAGACAGTTCACGGGGGTCGGGAATTTGCCTTTCATTTATGTACACGGGGGCCGGGTATTGGAGGACCCCAGGGATTTGACAAATGGTTGCCCAGAATCCCACCCACAAATTTTAAGGCAGCAAAACCTAGTTTCAGGCACGCATGTGGATGCGCTGATCGTATTTTGCGCCCTCGTGGTCAAGGTGGCGTGAAATTTATTGTAAGAATAAGCGAACTATTAAAGGTTTATGTTTTATAATATTCCATAGCAGTTTAATACTATAATTTAATAAATCACTATGATTATATGCCATTAAAAGTTTAATTAACGTTTACAGTCGATTTCACGAAATTTTGACCACAAATTCTCCGAACTTCGTTGCGAAGTTCACAAGATTGTTGCGAAGTTCAAAAGTTCATAATGAGATTCACAAACCAGTTCGTATAAAGCTACGCATTTGATTGGCTTCTTTTACTTCATGGACCAATTAGGGACTTTGTTTACAAATTGGCTTGTGAATTCTAATATGAGCTTCCGAACTTCGCAACAAACTTGCGAACTTCACAATGAAGTTCCAAACATTTGTGGTCAAAGTTTTGTGAAATCGACTGTAAAATCGTCCCCGGGGTGGGGCATTTTCCACTCTCAGCTTGCCCAGGGGCCGTGCATTAGTCTTCAAGTTGTGTCCCGGCACCCGGGCATTTACACTATCATAACCAATCAAATCAAATTCCCAGGTGTGTTCCCGGGGGGATGGTTACTCCTGGAATTGACTCATGCATAACCTACAGGAATCAGCTTTGTGCCTTAAAAATGTGCAAACCAGGGGTAATCGGAAATTTAAAACGCAACGACCCATCCTGAGCAATTTATATGCACATGGCTTGTTCACCAAGTTTATAAATATCAATATTTTAATCACAGGAACTCGATAATTTGATTAATTTCCATCTACAATTTAACAAACCCCTCAAGCTTATATTAATGTATACATTTGCTTTCAGCCTATAATGTACATCAATCCTGTTTTATATTTATAATAAATTGAACAAAGCAAAAATGAACATGTGTTAAAATATAACCTGTTCCGCCGCTAGCTGTGGTCTTTTGATAACTTTCTGGTACTTTGGGAAATGCATCTAATTCTTGTATGACTTTAAGATGTTTCCTTTGTCTCAATTCACTGCCAAGTCGCCTCATACTTTCACCTCAGATCCAAATCTTTATAGTCTGGATCTACTTTATATTTATATGCACAAAATGTTGTAAATTTTGCCATAAAGTCGCAAATTTACAAAATGACAAAAGAACAACACGCGTCCATCTTTAATTGCTTCGTTGTTGTCATGTGCGGTGTCCCAAAATGTACCCGTATATCCCACCTCGGCATTCCTATCCCACCATCACCCTAAAGAAGTGTTGGTCTCCGATGCCGGGGCGAGGGTACTAATTCCGCTCGGCTATTTACATCCGGCAAAAGGAAACCGCATTAGTGCTTTTGGCGAACATGAGGCACAAGGGTTTTCCCTCGAAAATTCAAAGTTTAACATGTATTTTGGTATTTCCGCTGCTCACAACTACTTGCGGGCGCAGAAAATTGAGGTGTCCGACCATCTCGGAGGTGTCCGACCGTCTACGAGTTCGAAATTTGCGTCGCCGACGCAAATTTTTTTTCCGTAGACAGTCGGACTCCTCATTGATAGTCGGACGCATCATTGACCCGCGCCCTTAAACAAAATATTCAGTGGATACTCTTCTTATCAGATGCGCCTTCCCAGTGTGTCTTGCGCACGAAACTGGTGATTTCAAAATATTGTATTGTTTGGTTGAGATGTCAAAATCTGAGCAGGACACATTGTGGCTTCATCAGGCCCGGAGCTACGGGGGGGTGTGGGGGGGTGTGACACCCCCCCCCCAGTAATTGTATTCAGTCGGCAGGACTGCTATTCAGTCGGTAGAACTGCTATTTGGGTTAAATATTTTTGGCGCAAAGGGCAAGAACGTGGTGGGAATTTTAGGAAAATTTTGAGGAAAAATGTAAAAATTTTGGAAAAATGTAAAAAAATGTTGAAAATTTGTTATGTGCGGAAAATTTTTGAATGTTCCGGAAAATTTTTGTACGTCCGGAAAAATTTTTGGACCCCTAAAATGGTACACTGACCGAAATTTTTTTGGCGACGGGGGGGGGGTCGACAAAAATTTTTTGATCAGGAAAAAATTTTTTTGAACCAGTCGGTTGAATTGACCTTATTACACCCCCCTGAAGAATTTCCTGAGGACGGCCCTGGGCTTCATATCTTGTGTGGTGATGACATCTAACATATTTTATTAAGTTATATTCGCCATTTCCACTTGCTTTTCTTTACTTTTGCAACTGTTTTTTTTTGTAACTCTTTTCGGAGCGATTGCAGAATACCCGTCCACTTTTTAGACTTTTTAAGCTATGCCTTTCAAACATGGACACGATGTATTAATACATCTATATTTATTCTCAATAGATTAATAATAAATACATTGATAGTCTCATAGTCTAGTAAATGATAGATTAAAATCCCATGGTGGTAAAGGTAGCTACGAGGCATACACTGACTTAGCATGAATAGATTAAATTGTCATAGTGTTAAAGGTAGCTCTATATATTCTAGTGGATACGCGTGATACGCAGTCAAGTCGGTTATTTTGAGAACGAGGCATACAGTTAGATTAGCATTAGATCAAATTCTCATACTATAGGTAGCTCTATATTTTAGCGGATACGTGGATACGCAGTCAAGTAGTTATTTTGAGATCAAGGCGACAGTTAACATTAATAGATTAATAATAGATTATTAATAGATTAAATTCTCATGCTATAGAGAGCTTAAATAGTTAAATGTGGTGTAATATGTAAATATGTTCCTCACAACCGGACATTGGTGTTTGACAGATTATGATTAATTAGCGTCGCTGGGAGAAAAAAAATTATATTATAAAGCATAATAAGCATAATAATATTAAACATTAAAAGTCTTGCATGATATTTCTTTTATTGTATCAATTCGTAATATTGTCTTAGTAATTAGTTTGTGTGTATTAGAATCAGGCAATAAGATCTGGTATATACATATCCAGTGAAATGTGGCTGGGCTACATGATATGATATTACTAGTGGACGGGTATTCTGCAATACTTCTATTTGTGGAAAGTGGTTTTGATGGTCTCTTTGAATCTTCCAATATTTCCTTGCACGCTAGTTATCTTATACTGATTCTGTTCAATTAGGATGGTATATAGTTTTAATTCGCAATAACAGTTCTTGAGTATTTTCGGAACCAGAAAAACAAAGTTTGTAGATTTGCTATAGCATCGCGAAGAAAATCTTTCTACACGTGGTCGAAGACTGGAACAACGCGGAATGATGGACATATGGTATACCAGGGGGTTATGCAGAGTACGAAGGGATCGATCGATAACGCGCGGAGGCCTGGACGCGGATCAATGATGCGTCCGACTATCAATGAGGAGTCCGACTGTCTACGGAAAAAAAATTTGCGTCGCCGACACGTTGCTGTCATACATGCTTATAATTAAACAAAAAGTCTGGCAGGCGTTCACACTGACGTGAAAATGACGACATACGTGCTATATGGTGTAATACAGTAATACAAATCGTGAACCGCAAACGCAAAGCGTGAAAGGTAGACTTCCCCATGCAAGTCGACTTCTGCTAATATTAAGTTGAATCGTTATCCTGAGGAGATTTTTCCGTAGTGTCCAATGAAACACAAGTGTCACTCACAAATACAAACGTTATCCATAAATGCACATAGTCTCGGAGGATGCGATGCGCTATTGTATAGACAACAGTATTTATACATATCGTAAGTCTGTAACGTATGAAGAATAAAAAAACTCAGCGATCCAGATCTCGCATTTTCAGAGACGTTGCACGATAAAAACCACCTAGTCAAAGAAAGTGCAGAGACTGAATAAATTATTTTACCTTTATTAATACAAAATACTTTTTCCACTTCAATCGTATCGTATCGAAGTAACGTATTTCTTTGTTTCCCGAGCACCAAAGTGGAACTAATGAATTCAACACAAAAGCAAATGCTAGTACGTATAGCATACAATACTCTTTTGCATCGATCTGGGCTGGGATTAAACAAACATTTGAAGTCAAGAACGGACTGTTTGCAATCACAATTTGAATATGGCAATAATGATTTATGGCAGACGAAATTAAAGGCACAGTTCAGCCTTTTAAATGATGCATGGTTTTTACGGCGCATTTTAGCCCTTTTAATTGAAAAAACTAACTAGGAAAATCAATTAAGCATACTATTCATATTGCTAAAACATCGAGTTTATATATTATACTGATCTTGAATTATGTATAATTGATTTTCCTAGTTAGTTTTTTCAAATAATAGTGCTGAAATTCGCCTTAAAAACCATCATTCAAAAGGCTGAACTGTGCTTTAAAAATTGTGATATTCAACAAACAGTAAACACATCTAGTTAGAACTGTTACGGTCTGCGGCAGTGTATAGTTAGTGCTAACAATAACAAAACTTTCGTTGGCAGGGGTGCAACTACCTGAAAAATACAAGAAGAAATTTTAAAAAGTTCCTGGTATTTTCGTAGTTATGTATCCCTACCAACGAAAGATTTTATGTTTGTGATGTTACTCTGAGTGTATATCCACACCGGGCAGACTTGAAAAGTATGGCTGGCCACGATGGGAATCGAACCTACGACCTTTGGAATACTAGCCCAATGCTCTGCCAACTGCTATTTCGCCATTTCGGAAACGAGTCTATAGTTCTTTCGATATCAAAGCAATCTATAGTAATCATGATTTTTGTGTGTGTTGGTGTTATGTACTCGGGTGAATTTAAGAAATAACTCCAGCCGATAGTTCGTACCGCAAACTTAATTCACCATTGAAACTGCCAATACGAATGAAAGGCATTCATTTTATTTCAGTTGTTTTTTTTACATGTTTGAAACACACATATTTTAGTAACCTCACATGTTTTACATAACCTTACATCTCATACATAACCTTACATCTCATACATAACCTTACATGTCATACGTAACCTTATACATATATGTCTCATATAACCAAATATGGACTTTATGTGACCGATAGCAAACACACGCTATTTCGATAGAGCCGACCATCTGTCCTACAAATCTATTTGCCGTTGTCAAAATAATAAACTTCAACATCACTCGGAGTGAAGTTGTAGGATCCTGCCAACAACTGTTTAGCTTCTTTTGTGGTATACTTATAATCGGAGGGTGGTTTGTAGGTGTGACCAAAGTTGGTGTAGGACGATGTTCCACCATTAGCGTTGTTAGCAATGTGAATGTCATGACCACCTCCAAATGTAGGACCATAACCGTTATTGGTATACATTGCGTTCGCGTTGTTTTGGTAGACTGGAGATTTAAAAGGTGCAAGGTCGTCTCTATTGGAGAAGGAGAAAACGAAGGATGTATCGGCTTTTATGTAACGAGCTGAACCTAAAAGAAATTGCAGGATAAAAATTGATCAATCAACTATGGTCTGCCACAGTAATAGATACTCATGTTTCGCTCGCTATTCTGGTTTAAATAAATAATTACAAAGCCCAGTAGATTTGTAATCAAGACCCAACGTTTCGACACTCCAGTCTAGTGTCTTCATCAGGGGTGATCTAAAGATGCAATCGTGGCTTCTTACATACCCAAGGGACGAGTCACTCCTGCCAATGAGATCATATATTCCTCTGGCAAATAGGCACAGTCATCCCTATTCAAAGCATGATTACTCGTATTTATATGCCACGCTTCTAGGCAAAGTCTTTGACCATAGCGATTGTTTATGGTAATTACTTTCCCACGCAATCTCGTGTTTGCATCTTTGGATCACCCCTGATAAAGACACTAGACTGGAGTGTCGAAACGTTAGGTCTTGATTGCAATTCGACTGGCTTTTTAATAATTTATTTAAACCAGAGTAGCGATCGAAACACGATTGATATACCTGCTTGCCGCGAACGAACAAACTTTAAAAGTAATAGATACTATTTGCGTGATTTTCCCCAATGAGTGATATCACGCATGCGCACTTCTTTGTCGCGATGAGTTGCAATGCATGAGCCGTTTAATTGCCGCACAGTAGGAATTTCTTTATACAAATGACAGAAAATATCACGTTGACATTTGTTGTTCACGACACGAGTGACAAAACTCCTGAATATTTTTTCCGCACACTAGGATTTTTGTGGCACGTAATAGACCTTTCCCCTTAAGGCCCGATTCCACGGGCGCTTTTTGTCGGCGAAAGGCGAATTATTTCGCCTGTTTCTTTTGAATTGCGACCACTCGAATAAATTATTTCTACTCGATTGCTCACAATTCAAAAGAAACATGCGAAATATTTCGCATTCCGCCGAGAAAAAGCGGCGCGTGTGGAATCAGGCCTTTATAACCAAAATTTTGATCTAGGCAAGTCTAGACAAATATTTCATCACAGCTTGAAAGCGCATCACAAAATTAGTCATATTCCAAAGTTTCGTTGCGAAATGTTGTAAAATGAGGAAAATAGAGCCTTGCGTAGTTTGCAATTTTCAGTCATTTTGTATTACAAACGGGAAATTGCAGCCCCAACACCCGAATCGGATGTAAATTTCTCGTTTGTAATACAAAATGACTGAAAAACAGCAAATTCGCAAGGCTATATTATCCGCATTTTACAAGATTTTGCAACAAAACTTTGGAATATTGCTAATTTTGTGATGCTCTTTCAAGCTGTGATGAAATTTTTGTCCAGATCGAAATTTTAGTTATAAGGGGAAAGGTCCATTGGTCACGACTGACAATTAGCGTGCGTGTAACTTACACTCAGTTCTCGGGCTTCAGTGCAGATTACAAGTACTAATTACAAGGTAGAGGATTGAGTCCGCTAAGTGCATAGGGTATAACAAGCACTTGTCAATATTATACCGTATATTCCAAAACGACAAACATTTTATCAATTATCCGAGCTTTGCATGCATTTAATGAAATTTGAAAGATTAATCATGCACATATGTCACATAAACAGCCTTGCAAGCCCCATAGAAATTTATAATGGGAATGCTATTAGTTCAGATCATAACTCTAGACTTCATTACAATTAACCACGAGTGCTTTTGAAAAGCTCATATACGAATCAATTAGTTTCGCTACTTGAGTGCTTGTACTACCTGCCTCACTGTTGATAATTAATTAGGTGAAACAACAAAACCAAGGTGTAAAATGTGGTTGTTAATGAAGCGTTTTCCGTGCATTCTTCACAGATTTCAACGTTAATTTAAATAGGTATTCGTCAATAACTTGTTGTAGGAAACTTCCAAATACAACAAACATACAATTTAGAAACTGGAAAATGGTGGTAAATTAAGGTATCAAAGATTTTGGATGATTGGGACTTACCTCCCCATGCTGCAGCAGCATATCCACCGAAAGCATACTTTCCAACTTTCACCAAAACAACGGTGGGTCCTTTGTTATCGCAGAAGTTGTGGAAAGTGCTGGATGCCCATCCATTATCTGAAGCTCTGTAGCAAAGTTTCATTTTCTTCTCCTGTAGCTGTGAAGGCAGCCATTCCTGAAGTTGGTCAATCCACTCGCTGTTACCTTCCAGTACAGTAGAAGCGAAAAGTGTCTCTATACATGTGAAATGAAATTTAATAGCTATATTAGATAACTAGACATATTAGGTGCATTAATTAAATGGCATACACATCAGTATAATTATGTGAACTTCACGTGGTTTGCTTTGAAAAGGATAAAGGTGTCAATGGCAGACTGGTCCGCGATGATCTCTGTTGAGAACTGTGAAATAAAGTCGAAATCTACAGTATGAAATCTTCCAATGAAATCATCTCTTCCCGCAAAGAATGCGTATTCGTGCCACAAATCAGTCAAAATGACCCAGATAGCCGGGCTAGCATGCAGCCTCACATAAACAGCATGTTAGGGGGTTGTATGCGGAAGCGATGGCGAAGTGGAAAAGATTTTACTAGACATGTCAAATTTGATTGCCACATATGATTGTCAAATATAGTTCTCCGTAGTATAGCAATTGTGGAGTGGCTATTGCAATTTCTGCATTCGGATTGGTCCAAATTAAGCGGCTTTTGACATTATATATGCAGTCACTGCATGGCTCAGCTTTCAGTTTCAGCAAATAACATTGTCCCTTACCTGAATTCACGATATATTTATATGTTTCCAATCATTTAATTCAATGTGAAATTATTTATACACGATTACACCTGAACAAATCTCGCATGCAAAAGAGAAATATTTTGATTCGTGCTACGTTTTAGTATAGTTCAAATAATTGTTAGTTTTAAATTTAACATACACAATTACCTTTCCTAGTACACACCAAACCTGTAAAGCCAGTTGTACAGGTACATTTGAAACTTCCGTCTTCTTCGTTGGAACAAACACCTCCATTTTGGCAGGGAGAAACTTCACATGGTAGAACTGTGTAAAATATTAATTTTTGATTTATTGATTGCAAGCTTCATAAAAACGACGACAAAAACATGATTCATATAGTATTGATTCTCTTAGGCATTAATATCCGTGAACAGGTCAAATACTTCGAAACTATTACGGACTCGCCATGCAGTACGTGTCCGTGCATCGATGTGTGGAATAATTATTACTAAATTGCTTAATTTGAGCATTGTGCGATTTTAAATTACTCTACTTGGAGATTTATTGTAGTAAATGTTGATATTTTCATTACTTCTCAACATATTTACATACATATACACACACGATTTATTTTACCCAAATTTGGCATCGGCTTTTCAGTGCAAATACTGATATAATACTTAAATTCACTGGCTATATACTGTGAATTACTCTATTATTAAATTAAATTGATAACATTTTTGCATGAACATGGCGAATAATAAAACACGTTTTAATTGGTTTGTGGATAGAAAAGTATACCATAAATATACCATAAAAAACAATATATACTCCATGCATTATTATATAGTTAATATATGATATCAGTCATATAATATAGTATATAACCTTTCTTAGAACAATCAAATCCTTTGAATCCATCAGGACATTCACATTTGAAACATTTTGTACCATCATCTGAACAATTGCCATTATTTTTACACGGCTGCATGTCACATGGACGAACTGAAAAACACAACGCGGTTATCAGAAAATATTTTACTACATACAAGATTCATGCACCCAAAATTATTCAATTTATATAATTTGCATGCAAGTATTTAAACATGCATGCATGTTCGCCGAATATGCATTAGGAGACGGGATTTTTCAGCTTAATTAAAAGGTGACTCGATATATTAAGATACACAAAATCCCTTATACAAGAATGCCCAAAATAATACAAGAATAGTTAAAACAAAACGTTACGATATATACGAACAAACCAGCGTGATCATTCGTGTCCACTGGACTATTAACGAAAGGACTGTACATATGCGCACACGATCTCGCGCTATTTTACATGTTATATAAAACGCGTTGCATGTCAATTAGCCTCGAGTCTGACGCCGCCATTTTTGGGTGGCTTTCTTGCCGCCGAAGTCTACATGCGAGCGAGATCAGTCCACATAATAGCTATACTTTTTATAATTTTTGGGCGGATCAGTGGTAAATTTGCTTTGTAAATGGTTATTTTGGTTTGAAAATTTGCTTTTCACATTGTTTTATTAATTGTCTGCATTGATTAACGAGAATAGATGGCACCGTGATCGCGAGAGAAAGGCAAATTGCTGAAGTCATGCAGTGGAAATGCGAATTTTTAAAAGATTAAAAGACAATGTGCTATATCTCATTGCACGCCAAAAATAAAAAATTCGGTAATGCCAAATCAATTTTATCGAAGAAAACGACATTTTTCCTTTAAAAAAATGGTACTACAGAGTTTGTATTTTCCTGTTATAGTCGATATTCTAGGTAAATATAATGCAGGGGAAAAGAATTGGGAGTCACCGAGCTTCTTTTCCAATATGGCGAGTGATTTTCATAATAGACACCACAAAGCAATTATATATAGGCTATATGTTACCAGAGTGTGTGTTACCAAAACGGACATAATTGAGAAGAAACAATGAAATAGACGAACATCTCGATATCTGCTGCATAAAACCTGTACATAATCTCGCTAAAAATGCATGATCGCCGTATTTTGCAGACTAATATATTATACTAATACATATAGTCATTTTTAACTTTACCCTTCTTCTCGCACAGAATTCCTTCGTAGTTAGGTTGACATTTGCACGTGAATGTACCATCATCATTGTTCACGCACACTGCAGAGTTTCTGCAAGGATTTCCGTCGCACACAGTAACTGGATGTATTAATAAAATAACAGTTATTAATGCTTGTATGTTGGCGTTGTATGGTGGTATTTGGTTTTGCATGGTGCTATTGGATTGTTAGTGCAACTTGCGAGTGCATAATGGACTATAAAAAAATGTCTTCTTAAAAGTGATCTACTCATCAATAAGTTAATCTTATTCAAATTAGTCACCTTTCTCACTGCAGTCAAATCCTTTAAATCCAGTTGGGCAATCACATTTCCGATGACTTCCAGTTAATGGTGTGCCATTGTTTTCACAAACGTCCTCTGCTAGAATTTTAGCTAGAAAGTATATACAGTACAGTGCGATAATTCGGCTATTAAATAATTTGACATTATACTACCGGTATACACAGATGCATGCAGATGATATTTTAAGGTAAATGCATTATTTAGAATAGCGACAAACCCATTCTAAATAAGCTTTATTTAGAATGGTTAGGCAAAGGATCAATGATTTCATTTCACTGTTTATACGTATAAGCTTTCATCAGGTTTCAGTTCAGTGCACATACATGCATGGGAGGGCATTGAAACTTATTAGCTAAGAATCTAATGAGATTCTTTTGTGTAAATGCCCGGCATGCATGCATGCATGTTCATTGAACTGTTGCATGATGAAAACCATTTCGGATTTCATTTGCTCGTGTAACCCAATTCAATAGTAAACCCGGTAGAATTTATTGGATTTCGAAACCTTTTTAACGTTAATGGTTTGTGGAAAGTTGCTCATGAACTTCTTTGGGAATTAGAATAGTCTGATGTATGCACCAACATGCATGCATACCTGTAAATTATTCGCATGAATGCGCCAACATACATGCATAAACTATTTCAACTCTTAATAGTGAACATATGAGCGCGAAAAGCACAATGTTCATAGAGATCGACGTTTTGGATGTTTTTAGAGGACAATTTTTAGATTATTTCTGTGTTGGTGTTGTGTACTCAGGTCGTATAGGCTCGATTCCCACCGTGGCCGGGCATATTTTTCAAGCTCGCTCGGTATGGATATACACTCAAGAGTAACATCACAAACCTCAATTGAATTAGCTGTATATAAAATCCAGCACACGATCATATTGTATATCTTGTGTACTAATTAGCAGCGTGGTAAAAGCTTATACTGATTAACAAGGGCGTTGGCATGCAATTAAATTATAAGGATGTATGATGGCAACGCGTCGACGACAAGCAAAATAAACTTCAAACAAATTTCTGTGAAATTGTTGTTGTGCATTGCCCAACTGTATGAATTCAATACAGTTTGAGAATACTAAAGGCAAACGATTTCTGGTTGAAAGCTTTTCGGCTGGGTAAAATTGTCGCGGTTGGAAATGTTTGCGTTGTACAAGAGACGTGAAAATCTCTGGTGTGCCGTTGTAAAAATGTCGCAAACACAGCGTTCTAACTCCCGTGGGGCTATTAAATTCTTTCTTACAAGATCAGGAATATCATTGTGGGAATAGAATTCGTCCTCGCTTTGCCGTCCTGCTAGCTTAATGGAAGGTTCCTAATGACTACCAATATAAATATTGTCAACTGCATGAATAAGCAGTATTTAGCAAGTTTCAACTCGTATAAACGTTTTCGCGTATATTCACCACAGAAACCATCCATGACAACTGCGGTAAAGTTTGCCGAGAACAGGTACTTTTCAGCTACTTCTTGACTTATAATTATGCATGCTTAAGTTTGTACAATTTCATTTAAGTTTTTCATGTTTTCACATTGGTATAGGTAAAATATGAATTATGAAGCCGTTTTAATTAACGAAAGGAGTAATTATTAAGATTGTAAATCAGTATACAATCATGCTGCGTTCCACCATAGTTTAACCTGTTCTCCTGAGAATGTATACAGATAAATCATACACAATCTATCAGGATACTTACCGGTTACGAACAAAAGCGCGACGAAACTTGCTGACAACCTGAACATTCTTAAATCGCTTCGAAGTGGTTTTCGATTCCGTCAATCTCAAATTAACTTGGGCGTGTTCCTACAAACAGAATAATATGTTATAGTATAAGGAAAAGAAGATCAACATCAGCGTGTTATATATTCGGTCGCGATCAGGTTTGCAAATTTTTTCATAACTATACTCCACTCATGCATCTAAACGACCGTTCAAATAAGCTACGGTGGTCAGGGCGGGATGTACCGAACAGAATTTTTCATAGTATTGGATACACTGAGACGCCAAAAATCTATAGTTCTTGTTCAATGAAATTTGATAACTTAAAGTTAAAAACAGCCATCAGCTGAGCATTACTTGTACAGAAGCTAGGAATGAAAGCGAACATCATGTGCATGGTGCACGATGACTATTATTTGTTGTAAACGCTGTTAAAATTTGTATTGCAGTAATACGCTGTTTAGCTCTATATAACATCGCCTTAATTGAACGCCCTACACGTTTAGGCATATGGGATATCCTGTGGCGAAGCCCTGAATGTATGCTCAGTAAACCGCAAATTTGGCAGCTTTAGGCGTTGTATCCTATGTGCTGTACGGGCTGTACCTACATTTAAACCCTTAAAATCTAAAATGAGAACATGCACGGCAAGAATAGCGCTTACAGAATATAGTCATCAAACTTACTTCCAACAAAAGCAAGATGTCAGTTCCAAGTAGTTCTTCTCCTGAAGGTCTTCTTCGGTTTAACTATGGGATAGAAACTGAGTGCCTTTTATGCTTACTCTTGAACTCATCAGAAAAAAACCCTTTAGAAATTCACATTATTGTTATAATTTGAATACCTGGGTCCTGCAGTATGGTGAACCCTTGGATGCGTAAACACAATCGAATCGAATTTTATGCATGGTACTTTAAAAGTTTTTGGTTTCATTCAACACTTCAAATATGATTATTTGTCGACTAATTTAACGCAGCGCGTAAAACCGAACAGTAAAATCTCTTTGTTCTGTTGTCAGTTGAATCATTCTTAATCGAACTGACACAACTGTCAGGCCTAATCTCTAAGTCGTTTTAACTTTCAATTAGAATTTTCATGTGCAATTTAACATGGTGTAAAATTTAAAAAGGAGACCTTTAGAAATTATGCTATTGTTATATAATTTGAATTCCTTGGAGCCAGTTGGAGGAATTTTTCTTATATACAGGTTGTCCCAAAAAAACCACAAAACATTGAACGTAATGTTAAAATTTGAATGCCCTAGCGCTAAGCTGACGCAAAGGGCGTAAAATATTGACAAGTGTGCATATATTAAATATTGACGTAAGAAATAAAACCCGTCAAGCTTTGATGCATGTGTGGGTTCAGCAGAGTGTTAAGGCATTCAAATTCTAACAATACGTTATTTCAATAGTTTTCGGGTTTTTTGGGACACCCTGTATATCTTAAATGTATTGTATTAAGGTACCTTGAATAAATTTCTTGATTGATAGTTTGATTGATTGATTGACTGATTGATTGATTGATTGATTGATTGATTGATATGCTGAACCCTCGCATGCGTGCAATATTGACATGGTGCATATATTAAAAAAGGAGACTTTTAGATATTTAAAATATCAGGCCTTGATTAAGCCCAAGATTTTCTGCTCCAGCATGGAAATTTAAAGTAGCTTCTAATAGCGTAAAGGAGAGTGACTCCTCAAAAATGGTAAGAAAGTCAAGTTACAAATTAATCATACTGTTAGTTCGAGTAACAATGGTTCAGCAGGCCAAAGGGCAACGAGTTTTTACTGTTTTATGCGCTACGTCAAATTAGTCAGCAGATAATCATATGTTGAACGAAACCAAAAAATTTTTATTAAATAACTTCATGCATAATATTCGATTCACTGGTGTTTAGGCACCCGAGGGTTCAGTACTCTCCTTTTTTGAGACATCCTGCATGTATACATGGTTATAGGGTAAATCACAACTGTGATTTTTATTAAAATTGTTTACTGGCTTAATTAGGTTATCAGTACTCGCACTATATGGCAAAAACAGGTTTAGATTTCACGTATACTAGTTAAATGGGTGTCCCAAAAAAACGAAAACTATTGAAATCACCAATAACAATTTAATTGTTAGAATTTGAATGCCTTAGCACTCTGTTGGTTCCCACGAGTGCATAAATGATTGACACAAATAAATTTTATGCATAAAGAAACTATTTAAGAAGCTGCTTTAAATTGCCAAGAGCAGAAAATTGCGCACTTTACAAGGAGATGTTCTTAACTAAATTTTAATACGTGCACCTTTACGCATCATTACGTTCAGCTTTTTAGCAGGGCATTCAATTTTAACAATAAGTGATTTCAATAGTTTTCGGGGTTTTTGGACACCCTGTATACACGGAGCAAATTGCAGTTGTTTTACCTTTATTAATACAAAATACTTTCAGCGTTATGCCCGTTTTGCACTTCAATCGTATCGTACCGAAGTGTAGCGTATTTCTTTGTTTCCTGAGCATTAAAGTGGAACTAATGACTTCGAAAAAAAAGAAAATGCTACGATACGTTACGGCATAGCCTATCGAAGGGGAGATGGCTGTCAAACTCATTATAAAGAATAACAATATAAAGTCAACGTTTATTCACAAATCTGATTCTTCACCGTCACGTGTGTATTGTATTTTTGCCAAATCCACCAATAGTAATTTCCAATTACCCTATTGTTCGAGTCACGGATAGGAAACTTTCCTAAAACATTGCTATTGGTTAGTCGGGCAAAAATGCAATACACATGTGACGGTGAAGGGCCAGATTTATGAATAAACGTTGACTAACATAGATAACGAGTTATATTGTTATTCTAATGAGTTTCGGAGTCATGTCCCCTTCCATGGGCTATGGTTACGGTACGGTTGAAGTGTAAAACAGCCATTAAGGTGCAAGACACTTTTGTATCTGGGTGGCGCTAAAAATTCATTCACCAAGACTGAAAGAAGATCAAGGCCCGACCGTACCGTTTCCAATGACAATTTGAATATGGCAATGATGATGGATGGCAGACGAAATTAAAATTGTGATATTCAACAAACAATATAACCCATCTTATATAGTTAGAACTGTTACTGTCTGTGGCAGTGTAGGTATCGCTAGTAATAACAAAACTTTCGTACGTGTTAGGGGTACCACTACCTCAAAAATACAAGGATCGGAGAAATTTTGAAAAAATCCTGGTATGTTCAGGTAGTTTCTAATTTGAATCTACTCTATCCAAATAAAAAAATAACTCCAGCCGATAGTTCATACGTCAAAATTAATTCACCATTGAAACTGCCAATACAAAAACCCCATTCTTTTTATTTCAGTTGTTTTTTTAAATGTTTGACGTAAACACATTTTAGTAACCTTACATACCATACATAATCATACACGTCTTACATAACCTTACATGTCATACATAACCTTACATATCACACATAACCTTATACATATATGTCTTACATAACCTAAATTTAATTCACGGACATTATGTAGCCGATATCAAACACACACTATTTTGATTGAACCGACCATCTGTCAGGCTACAAAACTATTTGCTGTTGTCAAAATAATAAACTTCAACATCACTCGGAGTGAAGTTGTAGGATCCTGCCAACAAATGCTTGGCTTCTTTTGTGGTATACTTATAATCGGAGGGTGGTTTGTAGGTGTGACCGAAGTTGGTGTAGGACGATGTTCCACCATTAGCGTTGTTAGCAATGTAAATGTCATGACCACCTCCAAATGTAGGACCATAACCGTTATTGGTATACATTGCGTTCGCGTTGTTTTGGTAGACTGGAGATTTAAAAGGTGCAAGGTCGTCCCTATTGGAGAAGGAGAAAACGAAGGATGTATCGGCTTTTATGTAACGAGCTGAACCTAAAAGAAATAGCAGGATAAAAATTGATCAATCAACTATTATCTGCCACAGTCAGATATACTATTTGCGTGATATTCCCCAATACGTGATATCACGCATGCGCACTTCTTTGCTCAGAGTTAAAATGAGCTGTTTGCCGCACACCAGGAATTTTTGTCATGAATGAAAGAAAATATCACACATGTTTGATATTCGTTGTTCACGACTCGAGTGACCAAAATCCTGAATATTTTTCCGCAAACTTAGGATTTTTGTTGTACGTAATTTACACGAATGACAAGCGTGCGTGCAACTTACACCAGTGTGCGCCGGGCTTCAGCGCAGATTACGAATACCAATTACCACCTAAATGATTGAGTCCGTTTAGTCCCGAGAGTATAACAAGCACTTATCTATATTGTATATTCCAAAACAACAAACATTTTATTAATTATCAGCTTTGCATGCATTTAATGAAATTTGAAACATTAATCACATGTCTCATAAACAGACTAGCAAGCCCCATACAAATGAATAATGGAAATGCTATTAGTTCAGTTCACAACTCTTGACCCATTACAACCACGAGTACTTTTGAATAGCATATATACGAATCAATTAATTTCGCTACTTGAGTACTTGTACTACCTGCCCCAATGTTGATATTCAATTAGGTGAATAACAACAAATCCAGGGTATAAAATGAGGTGGTTAATGAAACGTTTTTCGTGCATGCTTAACATATTTCAACGTTAATAGCTTGTTGTAGGAAACGTCCAAATACACAAACATACAAATTGGAAACTCGAAAAGGGTGGTAAATTAAAGTATCAAGGTTTTGGAAGACTAAGACTTACCTCCCCATGCTGCAGCAGCATATCCACCGAAAGCATACTTTCCAACTTTCACCAAAACAACGGTGGGTCCTTTGTTATCGCAGAAGTTGTGGAAAGTGCTGGATGCCCATCCATTATCTGAAGCTCTGTAGCAAAGTTTCATTTTCTTCTCCTGTAGCTGTGAAGGCAGCCATTCCTGAAGTTGGTCAATCCACTCGTTGTTACCTTCCAGTACAGTAGAAGCGAAAAGAGTCTCTATACATGTGAAACGAAATTTAATAGCTATGTTAGATAACTATAGACATATTAGGTGCATTAATTAAATTGCATACACATCAGTATACTTATGTGAACTTCACGTGGTTTGCTTTAAAAGGAATAAAGGTGTCAATGGCAGAATGGTCCACGATTATCTCTGTTGACACCTTTGAAATAAAGTCGAAAACCTAACATATGAAATCTTCAAATGAAATCTTAATCTAGTTTTTGTGCCACAAATCAGTCCAGATGGTCCGGATAGTCGGGCTAGCCCGCTCAGATGTAAACATTCCGTTAGGGTTCGCTTGCGGGAGTGCTGGCTATAGTTCTCCGTAGCATAGAAATTGTGGAGTGTCTATAGCATTTCCTGCATTTGGATTGGTCCAAATTAAATTAAGCGACTTTTGACAATATGCAGCCACTGGCTCAGCTTTCAGTTTCAGCAAATAACATTGTCCCTTATCTCAATTCATGATATCTTATTCTTCCAATCATTTAATTAATTCAATATGAAATTAATATACGCGTGAACAAATCTCGTATGCAAACAGAAAGATTTCGATTCGTCCTACCGTTTTAGTATGGTTCAAATAATTATTTGTAAATTTAACATACACAATTACCTTTCCTAGTACACACCAAACCTGTAAAGCCAGTTGTACAGGTACATTTGAAACTTCCGTCTTCTTCGTTGGAACAAACACCTCCATTTTGGCAGGGAGAAACTTCACATGGTAGAACTATATGAAATATTAATTTGGATTCATTGATTGCATGCTTCATAAAAACGACGACAAAAACGTAGGCTAATTATCGATTCTTTTAGGCATCAATTCCTTGAATAGGTCAACTACTTCGAAACAATTACGTGGACTCACCAGTAATTAGTGTCCATGCATCGATGAGTGGAATAATCGTTACTAACTTGCTTTGAACATTGTGTGATATTAAATTACTCTATTTGGAGATTTGTTGTTAAATGTTGATCTTTTTATTACATTTGAACATATTTACATTCATATAGCCTATATCAAGTTCATATACATACGCACACACGATTTATTTTACCACCCAATTTTTGCATCGGATTTTCAGTGCAAATTGTGATATAACATTGCGAAGTTCATTGGCTATATATACCGTGAATTAATCTATTATTAAGTCGATTGTATTTTTGCATGCATGGCAAATAATAAAACACGTTTTGGCCGGCCAGTGTGGATAGACGAGTATACCATATATATATATAGCATAAAAGAACTATCTACTCCTGCATGCCTTATATTATCGTTATATAATCAAATATTCATATATAGTTAATAACCTTTTTTGGAACAATCAAATCCTTTGAATCCATCAGGACATTCACATTTGAAACATTTTGTACCATCATCTGAACAAATGCCATTATTTTTACATGGCTGCATGTCACATGGACGAACTGAAAAACACAACGCGGTTATCAGAAAATATTTTTCTATCAAGATTCACACAAAATTATTCATTTATATAATTCGCAAAAACTTAAACTCGTTCACAAAAAAATGGATAGGGGACGGAATTTTTCAGCTTAACGTGCATGGCTCGATATATCAATACATAAGAAAACCCTTATATACAAGAATGCCCAAAATAATACTAGTTAAAACAAAACGTTACGATATATACGAACAAACCAGAGTGATCATTCGTGTCGACGGGAATATTAAACAAAATGACATAGATATATAGATATATATAGATATATATATATAGATATATATTAGGACCGTTGCTCGATCACCCCATCTCGCGCAAATTTTACATGTTTTTTAACACGTTGCATGTCAATGGCAAACGTGACAATGCGCTATATCTCATTGCCAAAAATAAAAATTTCTGCAGTAATGCCAAATAGTGAATTTTATCGAAGAAAACGACATTTTTGCGTTTAAGAAATGGTACTACAGATTTTTCGTATTTTGCTCATTGTTATAGTCTATGTGCTAGGCAAGTAAGCAGGGAAAAAATTGGAGGTCACCGATGCTTCTTGTCCAACATGGCGAGTGATTTTCGTAATGAACACAAAGCAATTGGTTACTTATATATTGGAGTGATTTTCGTACGCATTTGTTACAGTGGCAACAAACGCGTACGAAAATTACTGTAATACCAAAACGGACATAATTGAAAGAAAAAACAATAAAATGGACGAACATCCGGATATCTGCAGCATAAAACCTAAAAATACGATTTTTCAAACTGTTAATTAAATTAACTGTTAATTAAATTAAATGTTATACAACCTAAAGTTTTTGAAAACTGTATCGAGCTACCTTAAAAGTCCAAATTATATATTAATTTTGCAAAGATGATTTGGCAAAAAACTCCGAATGATATTAATCTTCTTTAAGACTTTGATGCTGCATAGAATTTGGAGATATATTATATTAATCTTTATTAATAATATTGGAATTTGGAATTATATTAATCTTTATATATCAGTGTTGAAAATTCAGAGCATGCATCAACCAAGTCTTCGAGTGCAAAGTATACGGTCTGTTGATAGAGATAACACTGGTATATACACAGAAGGACAATACATTAAAAAACAAATTACTAATTCTCAAAGCAGGTGGAAGCTGAAACACATCCCTGCGCATAATCTAGAAATGAAGCAGCATTTTGCGGATTAATATAATCTAGAATTATAGACATATTGTCATTTTTAACTTTACCCTTCTTCTCGCACAAAATTCCTTCGTAGTTCGGTTGACAATTGCACGTGAATGTACCATCATCATTGTCCACACACACTGCAGAATTTCTGCAAGGATTTCCTTCGCACACAGTAACTGGATGTATTAATAAAATAACAATTATTAATACTTGTTTCTTGGCGTTGTATGGTGGTATTCAAGTTTTGCATGGTGCTATTGGATTGTTAGTGCAACTTGCGAGTGCATGCATAATGAACGTTTAAAAAATGTTTTCTTAAACTCTAATCATCAATAAATTAATATTATAAATTAAGTCACCTTTCTCACTACAGTCAAATCCTTTAAATCCAGTTGGGCATTCACATTTCTGATGAGTTCCAGTTAATGGTGTGCCACTGTTTTCACAAACGTCCTCTGCTAGAATTTTAGCTAGAAAGTATATACAGTGCGATAATATTAACTCGGCTATTAAATATTTTGACATTTTACTATACCGATATAGACAGATGCATGCAGAGGATTTTTTAAGATAAATGCATTATTCAGAATAGCGGCAAAGCCATTCTAAATAAGCAATATTTAAAATGGCTATACAAAGATAAAAAATTTCATTTGATGGTCTATACACTCAGTGTGTTTAAAAAATATAGCCTTTCAAATTTAAATCAAGCATAACGCCATATTCTATTGAATTCATCTGAGGCCCGTTATATACGTCGAATTTCGGTCGCGTCGAATGCAATTCAAACAATAGATAATGAAGCTTAACGAGGTTTATCATCTCATTATCTATTGTCTTAATTGCATTCGACGCGACCAAAATTCGACGTATAAAACAGGTCTGACAAGCTATAATTGCTTCGAACAAGTTGGCGACCCTTAAAACAAAAGACTTTCTACTTATGGGACATGTACGAACAACTCAATGAAATACCGTATACAGTACAAGTACCATTAAAATGAAGCTATAATTGATCTCTTTTGAAAATAAGACATGTTTTCGTCGCGTATCATTAACTCAAAGCAGTCGAGAACAATCAAATCAGTTATATATTATAATTATCGTTAATTTCAATTTGAAAGGCTACAGGCTTACTTTCTTTTTATACACACTGTATACGTAAGGTTTCATCATGCTCCAGTTCAGTGCACAAACATGGGAGGGCTTTGAAACTTATTAGCTATAAGAATCTAACGAGATTCTTTTGTGTAAATGCTCGGCATGCGTGCATGCGCATTGAATTGTTGCATAATGAAAGCCATTTCGGATTTCATTTGCTCTTCTAACCCAATTCAGTAGTAAACCCGGTAGAATTTATTGGATTTCTAAACCTTTTAAACGTTAATGTTTTGTGGGAAGATGCTCAACTTCTTCGGGAACTAAGTTAGTCATTTTATTCGCATGCATGAATGCGCTAACATGCATTCATAAACTATTTCAACTCTTAATAGCGAACATATATATGAGCGCGAAAAGCACAATGTTCATAGAGAGTGGCGTTTTGCACGTTTTTACAGGACAACCTCATTTGAATTATTTCTGTGTTGGTGTTATGTACTCAGGTCGTAGGTTCGATTCCCACCGTGGCCGGGCATATTTTTCAAGCTCGCCCGGTGTGGATATACACTCAGAGTAACATCACAAACCTCAGTTCAATTAGCTGTATATAAAATCCAGCAACACGATGATATTGTACATCTTGTGTACTAATTAACAGCGTGGTGAAAGCTTATACTGATTAGCAAGGGCGTTGGCATGCAATTGACAGCGAGGGCCTAATTCAATTATAAGCATGTATGATGGCAACGCGTCGAAGACAAGCAAAAAAAACTTCAAACAAATTACTGTGAAACTGTTGTTGTGCATTGTCCACTGTATAGGAATTCAATACAGTTTGAGAATATTAAAAAGTCAAAGGATTTCTGGTTGAAAGTTTTTCGGCTGGCTAAAATTGTTGCTGTTTGAAATGTTTGCGTTGTACAAGAGACGTGAAAATCTCTGGTTTGCCGTTGTGTAAAAGTCGCAACTCCCGTGCCCGTGAGGCTATTTAACTTCTAGTTTCTTACGACATCAAGAATATCATTGCGTGAATAGAATTCGTCTTCGCGTAGCCGTCCTGCTTACTTAATGGAAGCCGGTTCCTATTAACTACCAATATAAATATTGTCAACTGAATAACGAGTATTTAGCAAGTTTCAACTCAAACGTGTTCGCGTGTATTCATCACAGAAACCATCCATGACACGTGCAGTAAAGTTTGTCGAGAACAGGTAGTTTTTAGCTACTCCTCGACTTATAATTATTCATGGTTAAGATTTATACGATTTCATGTTAAGTTGAAACATTGGTATTGGTAAAATACGAATTACGAAGCGGTTTTAATTAACGAACTGAGTAATTATTAAGATAGTACGTAAATCAGTATACATACTGCATGCCACCATAGTTTAACCTGTTATCCTGAGAATGTATATAGATATAAAACATACACAATCTATCAGGATACTTACCGGTTACGAACAAAAGCGCGACGAAACTTGCTGACAACCTGAACATTTTTAAACCGCTACGAGGTGGTTTTCCGTCGATCTCAAGTCAACTTGGGCGTGTTCCTACAAACAGAATAATATGTTATAGTAGGAGGAAAAAAGATCAACTAACATCAGCGTGTTATATATTCGGTCGGGTTTGCAAACTTTTTCATAACTATACCCCACTCATGCATCTAAACGACCGTTCAAATAAGCTACGGTGGTCAGGGCGTGATGTACTGAACAGAATTTTTCATAGTATTGGATACGCTGAGACGACAAAAATGTATAGTTCTTGTTCAATTAAATTTGATAACTTAAAGTTAATAACAGGCATCAGCTGAGCATTGCTTGTACAGAATATAGGAATGAAAGCAAACATCATATGATGGCTACTATTATTTGTAGTAAACCCTGTCGAATTTTAGTATTGCAGTAATACGCTATTTATCTCTATATAACAACGCCTTAATTGAACGCCCTATACGTTTAGACATATGGGATATCCTGTTGCGAAACTCTGACGTGTGCTCAGTAAACCGCCAATTCGGCTGGTTTGGACGTCGTATGGCCATGCACTGTACGGTCTGTACCTACATTTAAACCCTTAAAATCTAAAATGAGAACACGCAAAAATAGCGCTTACTGAATATAGTCATGAAACTTACTTCCAAAAAAGCAATATGTCAGTTCCAAGTAGTTCTTCTCCTGAAGGTCTTCTTCGGTTTAACTATGGGATAGAAATTGAGTGTCTTTTATGCTTACTCCTGAACTCATTAGAAAAAAAAACTTTATAAATTTACCTTATTGTTATAATTTGAATGCCTAGGTCCTACAGTATGGTAAACCCTTGGGTGCGTAAACACAATTGTATCGAATTTTATGCATGGTACGTTTTTGGTGTCATTCAATATGGTTATACCAAGCCCCCAATGTCACCGTTAATGTAAGTCATTGAAGCCTAACTTGGTTGTCCATGCTTGTCTACCTGTGTAGTACACATTATTATAGATAATCATGCATATAGGTAGCACAGAAATCACCCTTTGTTGTAAACACAACTTCATTTATTTACCTAATTAAGTTGGGAGTTTGGAATGAAAATTCTATTTGAAAGCTAGAAGACTTAGCCCCGTCAGTTGTCTCATGCAGGCCTGTTTCAAAAGTCGTGCTTCTCAAGTGCCGGATGCATTAATAGAAACAATAGAAATCAGGAATTCCAACTCATTATCTATTGTTTTTAATGCGTTCGGCACATGAAAAGCGCGACGTTTGAAACAGGCCTCAGTTCGATTAAAAATGGTTCAACTGCAACAGAGCAAAGAGTTTTTACTGTTCGGTTTTACGCACTGCAATATTTATCCAGTACTATAGTACCATGCACATAATCATATTTGAGATAATTATGTTGAACAATACCAAAAACGTTTAAATAACAGTTAACTACAATGCATAAATTTCGATTCAATTGTGTTTACGCACCCATGAGGGGTTCAGCATACGACTGAGGCGTTCAAGTTATAACAAGGTGAATTTCTAAAGGGATACCAGGTATTGTTCACGTTATTCTAATGAGTTCAAATGTAAGCATAAAAGACACTCAATTTCAATCCCATCGTTAAACCGAAGAAAACCTTCAGGAGAAGAACAACTTGGAACTGACATCTTGCTTTTGTTGGAAGTAAGTTTGATGGCTATATAGTTATTCAGTATAAGCGCTATTTTTGCCGTGTTGTCATTTTAGATTTCAAGGTTTTAAATGTAGGTACAGACCGTACAGTACATATAGGCATACAACGCCTAAACCAGCCGAATTAGCGGTTTACTGAGCATTCAGGGCTTCGCAACAGGATATCCCATATGCCTATACGGAAAGGGCGTTCAATTAATTAAGGCGTTGTTATACAGAGCTAAACAGCGTACGGCTGCAATACTAAAATTCGACAGCGTTTACTACCGAATAATAGTCGGCATGATCTGATGTTTGTTTTCATTCCTAGGTTCTGTACAAACATGCAGTGCTCAGCTGATGCCTGTTCTTAACTTTAAGTCATTAAATTTCATTGAAAAAGAACTATAGATTTTTGCTGTCTCAGCGTATCCAATACACATATGAAATATTCTGTTCAGTGCATCCCACCCTGACCGCCGTAGCTTATTTGATGGTCGTTTAGATGCATGCATGAGTGGGGTATAGTTAGAAAAAATATGGAAACCCGACCGAATATATAGCACGCTGATATTTTGATGTTATATATAGTCCTTATACTTAAACACAAAAAAATTATTAACTGTGCTATAACATATTATTCTGTTTGTAGGAACACGCCCTAGTTAATTTGAGATCGACGGAAAACCACCTCGAAGCGATTTAAGAATGTTCAGGTTGTCAGCAAGTTTCGTCGCGCTTTTGTTCGTAACCGGTAAGTATCCTGATAGATTGTGTAGGATTTATCTATATATACATTCTCAGGAGAACAGGTTAAACTATGGTGGTACGCGGTATATGTATGGCATATGTTTATGCATTCCTCATAATTTTCAGTTCGTTAATTAAGACGGCTTCATAATTCATATTTTTACCTATACCAAGGTTTCAATTTAACATGAAATTGTATAAATCTTAACCATGCATAATTATAAGTTAACGAGTACGTGAAAACTACCTGTTCTCGACAAACGTTGCAAGATATCACGATTTCTGTGGTGAATACGCGAAAACACTTGAGTTGAAACTTGCTAAATACTGCATGGTTATTCAGTTGACAATATTGATTTTGGCGTTATTAGGAACATTACATTAAGCAAGCAGGACGGCAACGCGAGGACGATGCTTTTTCACACAATGATATTCCTGAAACAGGAACAATTTTACCTAGTCGAAAAGCCTTTAACCAGAAAAATAAAAATTTTGAATTTAGTCATAACCTCAAGTGATATATTATACGCACTAGTTTTGAGCGCGTGTTACGTAAGATACAAAAAAATCTCCTCTTAAGGTGGCTCGCTACAGTTTATAGAAATGTTGAAAATGCGTAAACTAGATCACCTTTTTGAAGAGATGATGCTCTTTACAAATCGAAATTTCTATATTATATATACAGCGACAATCAAACAGTCAAAAATTGCTCAGAAAATTGACGTCACCACTGTTGCTATGGCAACAATGACCTGTATACAGTGTGTAAAAAGTATAGCCTTTCAAATTCAGATTAACGATAATTATAAGTGATTTGATTGTTCTCGACTGCTTTGAGTTAATGATATACTCGACGAAAACATGTCTTATGTACAAAAGAGATCAATTATACATGGTGTCCCAAAAAAACAACTATTGAAATCACCATAACAATGTAATTGTTAGAATTTGATTGCCTTGGCATTATTTTGGTTGACATAAGTGAATTTTATGCATAAAGAAACTATTTAAATTAAGAAGCTGCTTCAAATTTCCAAGAGCAGAAAATCGCGCACTTTACAAGGAGATGTTCTTAACTAAATTTTAATACATGCACCTTGAGGCTTGACATGTCAATATTTTACGCATCATTACGTTCAGCTTTTTGAATTTTGGCAGGGCATTCAAATTTTAACAAAAAGTGATTTCAATAGTTTTCGTTTTTTGGGGGACACCCTGTATACAACTTCATTTTAATGGTGCTTGTACTGTACAGGGTATTTCATCGAGTTGTTCGTACATGTCCCATAAGTAGAAAGTCTTTTGTTTTACGGGTCACTAATTTGTTCGTAGCAATTATAGCTTGTCAGATGAATTCAATAGAATATGGCGTTATGCGTTATTTAAATTTGAAAGGCTATATTTTTTATACACACTGAGTGTAGACAATCAAATGAAAGTTTTTATCTTTGCCTAGCCATTTTAAATAAGGCTTATTTAGAATGGCCTTGCTGCTATTCTGAATAACGCTTTTATCTTTAAACAAATCATCTGCATGCATGCATCTGTGTATACCGGTATAGTAAAATGTCAAAATATTTAATGGCCGAATTAATATTACCGCACTGTATATACTTTCTAGCTAAAACTCTAGCAGAGGACGTTTGTGAAAACAATGGCACACCATTAACTGGAACTCATCAGAAATGTGAATGCCCAACTGGATTTAAAGGATTTGACTGTAGTGAGAAAGGTGACTTTGAATAATATCAATTTTTTGATGATTAGAGTTTAATAAAACATTTTTAAAAGTCATTATGCATGCACTCGCAAGTTGCACTAACAATCCAATAGCACCATGCAAAACCCAAATACCACCATACAACGCAAAGAAACAAGTATTAATAACTGTTATTTTATTAATACATCTAGTTACTGTGTGCGAAGGAAATCCTTGCAGAAATTCTGCAGTGTGTGTGGACAATGATGATGGTACATTCACGTGCAAATGTCAACCGAACTACGAAGGAATTCTGTGCGAGAAGAAAGGTAAAGTTAAAATTGACAATATGTCTTTAATCTATAATTCCGCAAAACGCTGCTTCATTCCTAGATTATGCACAGGGATATATGTGTTTCAGCTTCCACCTGTTTTTGAGAATTCGTAATTTGTTTTTAATGTCAGTGTTGTCCTTCTATACCAGTTTCATCTCTATCAACAGACCGTATACTTTGTACTCGAAAACTTGGTTGCATGCATGCTCTGAATTTTCAACACTGATATATGAAGATTAATATATTTCCAAATTCCAATATTATTAATAAAAATTAATATAATATAACTCCAAATTCCATGCAGCATCAAAGTCTTAAAGAAGATTAATATAATTCCGAGTATTTTTGCCATATTAATATCTCAATATCTTTGCAAAATTAATATATAATTTGGACTTTTAAGGTGGCTCGATACAGTTTTCAAAAACTTCAGGTTGTATAACAGTTAATTTAATTAACAGTTTGAAACGTCGCGTATTTCAGTTTAGGTTTTATCCAGCAGATATATCGGCATGTTCGTCTATTTTATTGTTTCTTTCAATTATGTCCGTTTTGGTAACACATTTGTTGCAATGGCAACAAACGCGTACGAAAATCACTCTAACATATATAGCCAATTGCTTTGTGTTTATTACGAAAATCACTCGCCATATTGGACAAGAAACATGGGTGAAGAACATCGACTATAACAATTATAATGAGCAAAATACAAAAAATCTGTAGTACAATATTTTTTAAACGCAAAAATGTCGTTTTCTAATTTGCTATTTGGCATTACTGCAGAAATTTTTTACTTTGGGCAATGAGATATAGCGAATTGTCTTTAATCTTTTAAAAATTCGCATTTCCACTTACGTCAGCAATTGACGTGCAACGTGTTATAAACATAGATATCTTGTATACACTAGATAGTGCATCTAATATTCTGCAATTCAAAAATTGAAGCCGTGATTGCAGACTCGGGATATTCTCATGAAATGAGAAGACTCGTATGTTTTCTATTTCTTAAACAGGGAACTTAAATATTAAAGTAAACCTATTCCAAATACATTTTTAAACTATTCGAACGATTAAAGTTATTGTTGTTTTTTAAGCGTTAGCAAGTGGGAAACTCCAACATGGCCACCATCTATTCAAATGGGGGTATAACCGCTGGAATATTCTTGGCTTCAATTTTACTAAAAGAGATGCGCAATCTTGTGTATATAAGATATCTGGGGTTATAAAACATGTAAAATGGCGCGAGATAGAGTTAGCAACTGTCCTATATTATGAAAGTCCTTTCGTTGATATTCCCGTGGCACGAATGATCACGCGGGTTTGTTCTTATATATCGTAACGTTTTGTTTTAAACATTCTTGTATTATTTTGGCCATTCTTGTCTAAGGGATTTCGTGTGTATTAATGTATCGAGCCACCTTAAGATGTACTGTCCCGTCTTCTAATCCATATTCGGTGAACGGGTTTTAGGTTTAAGCATTTGCAAAGCATATAAATGAATAATTTTGGATTAATCTTGTATAGTAAAATATTTTCTGATAATCGCGTTGTGTTTTTCAGTTCGTCCATGTGACATGCAGCCATGTAAAAATAATGGCAATTGTTCAGATGACGGTGCAAAATGTTTCAAATGTGAATGTGCTGTTGGATTCAAAGGATTTGATTGTTCTGAGAAAGGTTATGCTAATCTATATATGAATATTACATAACGATAATAATGCGTGGAGTATATATTGTTCTTTTATGGTATATTTATGGTATACTAGTCTTGTCTATCTACAAACCAAAACTTGTTTTATTATTCGCCATGTGTATGCAAAAATACATTCAATTTAATAATAGAGTAATTCACAGTATACAGCCAGTGAACTTCACAATGTTATATCAGTATTTGCACTGAAAAGCATGCACATGCAAAAATTGGGAGGTATAGAATAAATCTTGCGTGTGTATATATATATGTATGAATTTGCTATATGAATGTCAATATGTTGAAAAGTAATATCAACATTTTACAATAAACCTCCAAATAGAGTAATTTAAAATCACACAATGCTCAAAGCAATTTAGTAATAATTATTCCACTCGTCGATGCATGGACACTAATTACTGGTGAGGTCCGCGTAATTTTTCGAAGTATTTGACCTATTATTTTTTTAATTTCTAAACGTTCGATCATATGTTTTTGTCGTCGTTTATAATGCAATCATAGCAATCATGCAATCAATCGAAAATTAATATTTCATATAGTTCTACCATGTGAAGTTTCTCCCTGCCAAAATGGAGGTGTTTGTTCTAACGAAGAAGACGGAAGTTTCAAATGTACCTGTACAACTGGTTTCACAGGTTTGGTGTGTACTAAGAAAGGTAATTGTGTACGTTAAATTTACAAATAACAATTATTTGAACCATACTAAAATGTAGGACGAATCAAATCTTTCTCTTTGCATGCGAGATTTGTTCACGCGTATATTAATTTCCTATTGAATTAAATTATTGGAAGCATAATATAATTATCACGAATTCAGGTAAGAGACAATGTTATTTGCTGAAACTGAATGCTGAGCCAGTAGCTGCATGCATTTTGTCAAAAGTCCCTTAATTCAGACCAATCCGAAAGCAGAAAATGCTATAGACACTCCTGACCACAATTTCTATACTACGAAGAACTATAGCCTGCGATTTTTGACCAATCTGGTGCATGTGAGAATTAAATTTGGCATGTCTAGTAAAATCTAGCTATTCCACTTCGCCAGCACTCCCGCATGCAACCCCTAACAGGATGGTTACATGTGAGGCGGCTAGCCCAGATATATGGACCATCTGGACTGATTTGTGGCACGAAAACTAGACTACGATTTCATTTGAAGATTTCATATGGTAGATTTTCGACTTTATTTGAAAGTTCTCAACAGAAATCATCGCGGACCAGTCTGCCATTGACACCTTTATCCTTTTTAAAGCAAACCACGTGAAGCTCACATAATTATACTGATGTGTATGCCACTTACAGTAATTAATGCACCCAATATGTCTAGTTATCTAATATAGCCATTAAATTTCATTTCACATGTATAGAGACACTTTTCGCTTCTACTGTACTGGAAGGTAACAGCGAGTGGATTGACCAGCTTCAGGAATGGCTGCCTTCACAGCTACAGGAGAAGAAAATGAAACTTTGCTACAGAGCTTCAGATAATGGATGGGCATCCAGCACTTTCCACAACTTCTGCGATAACAAAGGACCCACCGTTGTTTTGGTGAAAGTTGGAAAGTATGCTTTCGGTGGATATGCTGCTGCAGCATGGGGAGGTAAGTCCTAGTCTTCCAAAACCTTAATACCTTAAAGGGTACGAGCAACAAAAAATTTTGTTGCTTCATCTGAAAGAGCATGAAAAAATAAGCCGACTGGCCGTTTAATGCTCTATTCTATCTCATCCGGTTCCGAAGTTATACGCAAAATGAGCAAAATATAAATTGCTGATTCAGCACAACGTGTGACGTCATTAGTTGGGTAAGTATGTTTATTGAATAGTAAACTGAAGCATAGCTCAGTTATTATCAAATGAAATTTTGCATACAGATAGTACATGAGACGTATGGGAAAATACATCTAATTTTGTTGTCAAGGCAACACAATCGTTGCCAGGCGCCTTACACTGATTTTGAATAACTAGTTGAATTTATCTATGTGTATGTCATTTTCGAATTATTATCATGCAAGTAAACGTTTGGTATGCATAGGTATGGTACACATACTTCTGATATTATTTTATTCTTATAAGTACCATGAATCTTTTAAAGCTGTTTTATAAAATTGGCGCAAGGGGCCTGGGAACGACATTGTTACCTTGGCAACAAAATTAGAAATGTTTTTCAATGCGTATCATCGTGTACAATCGGTATGCAAAATTTTATATGATTTGGCCCATAATAACTGAGCTATGCTTCAGTTTATTATTCATTAAACATACTTGCCCAACTAATGACGTCGCACGTTGTGCTGAATCAGCAACTTATATTTTGCACATTTTTGCGTATAACTAGCTTCGGAACTAGATAAGATAGAATAGAACATTAAACGGCCAATCGGCTTATTTTTTCATGCTCTTTCAGATGAAGCAATTAATTTTTTTGTTGCTCATACCCTTAATTTACCACCCTTTTCGAGTTTCTAACTCGTATGTTTGTGTATTTGGACGTTACCTACAACAAGCTATTAACGTTGAAATATGTTAAGCATGCACGGAAAACGTTTCATTAACAACCTCATTTTATTCCCTTTTTTTGTTGTTATTCACCTATTAATTGAATATCGACAGTGGGGCAGGTAGTACAAGTACTCAAGTAGCGAAACTAATTGATTCGTATCTGATAAGCTATTCAAAAGCACTCGTGCACGTGGTTGTGATGGGTCAAGAGTTGTGAACTGAACTAATAGCATTTCCATTATTCATTTGTATGGGGCTTGCAAGTCTGTTTAGGTGACATATGTGATTAATCTTTCAAATTTCATTAAATGCATGCTAAGCTGATAATTGATAAAATGTTTGTCGTTTTGGAATATACAATATTGATAAGTGCTCGTTATACTCTCGGGACTAAACGGACTCGATCATTTAGGTCGTGATTAGTACTCGTAATCTGCGCTGAAGCTCGGCGCACACTGGTGCGCGCAACTTGCACGCACGCTTGTCATTCATGACTATTAAATTACATACAACAAAAATCCTAAGTTTGCCGAAAAATATTCAGGATTTTTGTCACTCGAGTCGTGAACAACAAATATCACACATGTGTGATATTTCTGTCATTCGTGACAAAAATTTCTGGTGCGCGGCAAACGGCTCATTTTTACTCTTAGGAGCAAAGAAGTGCGCATGCGTGATGTCACGTATTGGGGGAATATCACACAAATAGTATATCTGACTGTGGCAAACTATATTTGATTGATCAATTTTTATCCTGCTTTTTGTTTTAGGTTCAGCTCGTTACATAAAAGCCGATACATCCTTCGTTTTCTCCTTCTCCAATAGAGACGACCTTGCACCTTTTAAATCTCCAGTCTACCAAAACTACGCGAACGCAATGTATACCAATAACGGTTATGGTCCTACATTTGGAGGTGGTCATGACATTCACATTGCTAACAACGCTAATGGTGGAACATCGTCCTACACCAACTTTGGACACACCTACAAACCACCCTCCAATTATAAGTATACCACAAATGAAGCAAAACAGTTGTTGGCAGGATCCTACAACTTCACTCCGAGTGATGTTGAAGTTTATTATTTCGCCAACAGCAAATAGGTTTGTAGCCTGCAGATGGTCGGGGCTATCGAAATAGTGTGTGTTTGATATCGTTTACATAAAGTCTGTGAATTAGAATTTGGTTATGTAAGACATGTATGTATAAGGTTATGTAAGACATACAAGGTTATGTATGATGTGTAAGGTTATGTAAGACGTGTGACGTGTAAGATTATGTAAGACATGTAAGGTAGTGTATGATATGTAAGCCTGTAAGGTTATGTATGAGATGTAAGGTTACAATAAAATGTTTTTGCGTCAAACATTTAAAAAAAACCTGAAATAAAAAGAATGTCTTTTTTTTGTATTGGCAGTTTCAATGGTGAATTAAGTTTGTGGTATGAACTATCGGCTGGAGTTAATTTTTTGATTTCGATAGAGTAGATTCAAATTAGAAAACTTTCGTTCGTATGATAACCACCTGAAAATACCAGGATTTTTTTCAAAATTTCTCCTTGTATATTTTGAGGAAGTTGTACTCCTAACAACGAATGTTTTCTTATTATTAGCGCTATCTACACTGCCACAGACAGTAACGGTTTTAACTACAAGCTGTGTTATAGTTTGTTGAATATCACAATTTCAATTTCGTCTGCCATCAATCGTTATTTCCATATTCAAATTGTGATTGCAAACAGTCAGTTCGGGGCTTGATCTTCTTTTCGTCTTGGTGAATGACTTCTTAGGGTTTTTTTTAGCGCCACCCAGATACAAAAGAGTCGTGCACCATAAAGGCTGTTTGCCACTTCAACCGTACCGTAACCATAGCCGATCGAAGGGGAGGAGATTGCTGTGAAACTCATTTGAATAACAATATAACTCGTTATCTATAGTGAACGTTTATTCATAAATCTGGCCTTTCGCCGTCACATGTGTATTGTAACCAATAGCAATGTTTTAAGGAAATTACCTATCCGTGACTCGAACAATAGAGTAATTGGAAATTACTATTGGTGGATTTGGCAAAAATACGATACGCACGTGACGGTAAAGAACCAGATTAATGAATAAACGTTGACTAACATAGATAATGAGTTATATTGTTATTCTAATAATGAGTTTGACAGCCATCTCCCCTTTGATAGGCTATGCCGTAACGTATCGTAACATTTTCTTTTTTTTCGAAGTCATTAGTTCCACTTTAGTTGTCAGGAAACAAAGAAATACGCTACATTTCGGTACGATACGATCGAAGTGCAAAACGGGCATAACGCTGAAAGTATTTTGTATTAATAAAGGTAAAACAATTGCAATTTGCTCCGTGTATACTGTACTAATATTTATTCCCGATCATAGATTAAACTAGTATGCCCAAAATCTAAACCTGTTTTTGCCATATAGTGCGTGTGTACTGATAACCCAATTAAGCCAGTAAACAATTTCAATAAAAATCACAGTTGTGATTTACCCTATAACCATGCATACATGCAGGATGTCTCAAAAAAGTTGAGTTTTAGAAATCTACCTTAATTGTTATAATTTGAATGCGTGATCCTATACGTACTGAACCCTCGGCTGCGTCAACACCATGCAGTCGGAATCTCATATTATGCAGGAAGTTATTTAAAAGTTTTTGGTTTCGTTCAACATATGATTATCCGCTGACTAATTTGACGTAGCGCGTATTTGGCCTGTTGAACCATTGTTACTCGAACTAACAGTATGATTAATTTGTAACTTGACTTTTTTACCATTTCTGTGGAGTCACTCTCCTTAATGCTATTAGAAGCTACTTTAAATTCCCATGCTGGAGCAGAAAATTTTAAATATCTAAAAGTCTCCTTTTTTAATGTATGCATCCTGTCAATATTGGACGCATGCGAGGGTTCAGCGTATCAATCAATCAATCAATCAATCAAACACAAACAAACAAACAAACAAACAAACAAACAAACAAACAAACAAACAAACAAACAAACAAACAAACAAACAAACAAACAAACAAACAAACAAA